ATGAAAAATACATCTATGTATTTTCCTCTTAATGTTTAGTTTTTTTTTCTTAAAAAAAAAAAAAAAAAAACTATCCCCGCATGCTGTCGGGTAATAAAAATACCTGCTGGATTGAAAAAATAAGAAACATATTGGGGTTTCTTTAGAATTAGTTGGGAATGGTTGACCATTTTGCAAAATCCAAAATCAGCTCTAACTTGGTTATTTTCCAGAAGTTTTTCTTTTCACACACGTAAGGTTGTTTTAACTTGATCATGGGCCCATTTAAGAAGGTTACAACATGGGCTTTTTGGTTTAGTTTTATTTAGGCCCATTGTGAATTTCCACATTGAGCCCAAACCACTTGGTCATGGGCCCATTACGTATTCACGTAGATGATTCGTCGATTACTCTGTCTTCTTCCTCAATTCAACAACTCTGGTTCCCTTTTCCAGTCGACTGTTCTCGCTTTCTTTTACGACAAAGAGAGCTAAATCTTTCTCTCTCTCTCTCTCTCCCTCCCTCTCTCTCTCTCCCCACCTGAATTCTCAGTTCATCTTCCTGTTTACTGTTTCTGCGATTCGCGTTGCTTAACTCCTTCACAGAGTCGCCGGAGGTTTTCGCGTCGGACGGTAAGATCATATTTTTACACAAATCAGATTAAGAATGCAACTCTGTTCTATATCATCTCTTCCTTGATTTTACGTATGAATCGTTATGGCCATCGGAAAAATCAAACAGAACCCTTGATCAACGTTGGCAAAACCAAAGTTTGTTTGGACCTGACAGAACACGAAATCCATACTTTAATTCAGATTCAGACATGACGGGTTTCTTCAGAAAGAAGAACAAAGAAAGGAAAGGTTTTTTCCTCGAGAACGGGAGATTGCTGTTGGAGGAGCTGATTTCGTCTTCCGACGGGAAAAACAATCCCGTCCGTACATTTACCGCGGATCAAATCATCAAAGCTACGAACAACTTCGACCGGAGTCTTGTTGTTTCAGTAGAGAGAATCGTCTGGTACAAGGGTATGATCGACGGCCCTCAGGAGATGTGTTTACAAGGACTACGATCCCGACAACATCCATCGTGACATTGCTGTCTCGTCTCTGATGGGCAGCCATAAGAACGTTCTTAAGCTGTTGGGTTGCTGCCTTGAGCTTCCAATTCCAGTTCTTGTCTGTGAATACGCTGAGAAAGGAGCTCTCACAGGGATAGCTCGTGCAGGAGATGACCATGCGCCATTACCGTGGAGTACAAGACTGAAGATTGCCAAGGAGATCGCTAGTGCAGTTGCTTATCTTCACACGACGTTTTCTCAAACCATAGAATAGGGACATAAAATTTAGAAATATTTTCTTGCACGAGAACTGGACGGCCAAGTTGTCATCTTTCAGCCTCTGCATATGGATCCCCGAGGGAGAATCAGGAGTTCATGACAGAGTGTGTGGGACAAGTAGTTATATCGAGCTGGATTATTGCAGGACCGGCTTTGTAACGGAGAACGTCGATGTATATAGCTTTGGAATCATTCTGCTGGTTCTTCTGACAGGAAAATTTCAAGTGACTTGGGATGGTCATCCTGTCCCGTTACCGGATTATGTCCGGAAGCTCGTGGAGAAAGGGCAGTTCACCGAAATGATCGACCCGAACATGGTGACCGATTGGACTCGGGCTCCGGCTTCTGAAAAACATCAAAAGTTACAGATGGAAGCATTTCTTGAACTTGCTCTGAGATGTATCAGATTCAGGCCGGGAGAAGATGCGCCTAAGATGATGGAAGTAGCCAAAGAACTCAAGCAGATTGAAAGATGTACCAACTCGTCTTTTGCCCAACTGAGACAATTCTATGTCTGATCGCATTCTGTCAGTTCTTTTGATGATTATACAAGCTATAATCATGTATATCATGTCTCAAGAACATGTTGCAAGATTGCGCAATGGAAGTAAGACTAAAGATTACCATTGTCAATGTCAGTTCTAAGACATGAACACAAAACTCAAGTGATCTTTCTGGGTTTATGTCTGGTTTCATCTTCAACAACAAGATCCAGCAGAAATCCGCCCTATCTATAATCATTATGCTTCTTGAAACTCGAGAGATCGTTCTTCTTTGAGAAACGACTAACAATCTGTTTCCTTTCTGAATCTCAGAGATGGGTTAGCTCGGACAGACTAGATGAAGTAGAATCAATTGTTGTTTTCTCAATCTGTTTAAGCTCCTTGGCCACTTCGATCATCTTTGGTCTGTCTTTGCTCCTTTTCTCGCAGCAACTCAACGCCAGTTTCCGAAATGCTGCCATCTCTGATCTTTGAGCGGCCGTCATGTTCTGTGCCGTTTCTTGATCGATTATCTCAGCCAACTCTCCATCCTCTGGTAAATCTCTGACATAATCATGGATATGTTGACGAGATCCACGGAGAATAGCCGGTCTTCCTGTCAGAAGAACTTTCAAGAATGTTCCAAAGCCGTACACATCGGTGTACTCTGTCACGATGCCCGTAGAGATTTGCAACGGATCCAAGTATCCAAGCATTCCCCAGACATCATCGTCTTCGATCTCTGATTTGCCCTCGGGAAGCGATACTGAACACGAGAAACCGGTCAGCTTGGCTGTCCAGTTCTTGTCCAAGAACACATTCATCGGGTTTATGTCTCTGTGTACGATGATTCTTGGAAACGCCATGTGAAGATAAGTCACGGCATTAGCTATCTCCTTTGCGACCTTGACTCTCGCCTTCCATGGCAGCAACTGCCCACCATCTACGCCTCCTTTCTCGTCCAGAACTCCATTATCAGCATATTCATATACAAGAACTGGAAGCGGAAACTCGAGACAACATCCCAAGAGTTTGAGAAAATTCGGGTGATTGCTCACTCGAGTAGATATGGCAATATCGGTGTAAACCTGCATCTCTATGTGTCTGACGTCTTCATAGAATCTCTTCAAGGCATAAACTCTATCATCGATCGTACCTCTGTACCATGTAAAGTACCCATGACGAGAGACACGACAACTGGGATCGAACTGGTCGGTGGCTTCGAGGATTTGGGCGGAAGAAAACATGCGGATAGGATTCGATTTACCGTCACAGTCGGCGACGAGCTGTTGAAGAAAGGTGCTTCCTGTCTGCAAGAACAGCTTCTTCCGCTTCTGTTTCTCCTTCTTCCTCCATCGCTTGATCTCCCAACAGTGCTTCCTGCAATAATGGAAACTCATCGGTTTATTGTTTTTTTATTTATATTTTCTCCAAAGTGGGTTGAAAATTCAATCTTTGCAAGGGGGACCAAACGTTGATAGCGACGTCCATCGATTCATCCCTTTCAGATCGAAAGAAGACACGTGGTCAAAGGGATTTCATTTCAACAAGATCATGCCTTTTATCATAGTTTTGACAATTTTTACTCCGCAGGAAGATCTTTAACTTCATATACATATACATATACACACACACATATATATATATATATATATATATATATATATATATATCAAAGAGGCGAGATTTACAAACTGGGTGGTCGTTAATCCAAATGGGTTTTGTCTGATTTTTTTTTCCTTTATAAACTTGAGAAGATTTAGATCCGACCAATAGATCTGCAGCATCAAACTGAACACTCTATCTGCTTAAGCTCCTTGGCCACCGTAAGAAAAAAAAAAACAGAGAATGGGATTGGGTTTACCATTACAGTTGCTCCCATGGTGACGGCATGATGAAATAAACAAACAGACCAGAAGACCGTTCTCTCTCATTCTCGCCTTTGAAAGTCAATCTTTCTCAGTGGACACGTTTCATTTCGACCACATAACATACCAGTTTTTTTCTTTTCCCACACGGTCTTTCGTTCCCACAACTGCCCGTTGTCGTTTTTCAACGGGTTTTGGTTTACAGTATGGTGGCTTCACACAAAGCTTTCGCCTTTTTCTTCAAAACGTTTTGAAAGTTTCAAACTTCTCGTGGTCCATGAAGCATTGACACAGTCGGAACCCACATTTTCATGGCAGGAAGTCTTCCCTGCAAGAAAACTTTCCAGAGTCTTTTGACAGGAACATACTCGTTTAGGAGTTATAAAAAGTTTCTGACAGGCCCTTTCAGCTTTTCATTACAGAATCTTGATTTTTTTTCCAACTCTTCCTGTCCATTGTTCCCAATGAATTGGGTTCTTCTACTGTTAAAGATGGTTAGGTGGAGAAGGAAGAGCTCGGGAGCCAGTAAACGGAAAAGATCGGCCGGAGAGAACGGGAGAGTGTTGCTTCAAGAACTCGTCGAATGTTGCGACGGGAAATCCAACCCGATCAAAGCCTTCACGGCCGTCCAGATCATGGAAGCGACAGACAACTTCAGTCACGAGAATCTCGTTCACTCGGACAGGTTCCAATGCTACAGAGGCATGCTCGAGGGGCGTCTCGTAAAGATCAAGACCTGGCCGACATATGGATGCCACCGGGACAAGGTCTGTCGGGATATAGCTGTTTCGTCGATGGTGAGCGGCCACAAAAATTTCCTCAAGCTGCTCGGGTGTTGCCTCGAGTTCGATTATCCAGTCCTGGTCTGCGAATACTCGGAGGGTATCGTTCAAATCGTGCCTCCACCCGGGATAGGTAAACGTTTAGATCCGGCATTGACGTGGAAAATGAAGATGAAGATCGCTAAAGAGATTGCCACCGCTGTCACTTACCTTCACACCACGTTCCCGAGGACCATCGTCCACAAGAACTTGAAGCCATGTAAGGTTTCCTTGGACGTGAATGGAACCGCAAAGCTGAGCGATTTCGCCAACTGTGTCTCCATTCCGCTCGGAAAATCGTTCGTGGAAGATGATAGAGTAGAGGGTACTTACGGTTTCGTCGATCCAGACTACATGTCAACCGGAACCGTGACAGAGAAAACCGATGTCTACAGCTTCGGGGTGTTCATGAGAGTTCTTCTGACAGGAAAAGCACCTTGCTGTATCAACGAGCCGCTTGCAGAATCTCTGTCCAAACTGGTTGAAGATGACAGAATCCTCGAGATCGTGGACCCGACCATGTTGCGGAAGATGGGTTCGGTTTCAGGACGAGAACGGCGACAGATGGAAGCTCTGGTTATACTGTCATTGAGATGCACTGGACATAGAGGGGAAGTTCCAAAGATGATTGAAGTGGCCAAGGAACTGAAAATGATCGAGAGATATAATATGATTTGAATAAACTTATCATTTATTCCAGTAAATATATAATATGATCATACAAATGAAAAATACATCTATGAATTCATCCTCCTCCTCTGTTTTCAACACAGAGATATGCAGACTTTGTATTTAACCATCTAATCGATTAAACAAATGATATTTTTTTTCAAACTAAATGTCAACCATATCTTCCTAGTCCACAGATCTGAAGAAAGTCAGATCTTTGAAGTCTTCGGTTTTATAACTTGTACCGTACCGTACAGATCCCTCCATGCAAATGACAACAACTCATGTAGAAGGTGTTTACTGTAAGATTTTAAGGATTTGGTCAGACGAAAATGTGACAACAGAGAATCCTGACAAAGGAGAGGTTAGGTTTCGGTTCCAAGCATTGGGGAGTTATGTCTGGAACTGCTTTCCTGTTCCCATTGGGAGGGAGCGAAAGTATATGGCGTATTCCAGCTCTGTTTTTATACCCACCGTTGACCGTTGACTGTATACAGGGATCAAGAAGTTGAATCCAAAGAAGACGATTTACAGTCACGTGATGAGATTCTGCCTTGGGGAAAAGAAAGAGGGAAGAGATCGTTTCCAAGATGATGGGAGCTTGTCGTTGGAGCTGACAGATGTCTTCTGTCTTGTAATATCAGCTCTATCCGAACCTTCTGCTCTAATCAAATACTTTTAAAAGCGTTTAAAAGTCTAGAGCTAATTTCTTTTTCAATGTTTTTCAAAGAAGGAACCGTTCTTGGAAAGACTTAGACTTTGGTGTAGATCCGACAGCGCTTCTGTTTTCTCCATTAATACCAAGCAGGAAGAAGCTCATCTCCTTTGCATCTCCTCGAGTAATTTTCAGATGGATTGGTGGAAAAGGGCAGTTTCAGGAGCCAGAAGACGATCGGAAATTCGTCCGAGAACACGGGAACCTCCTGCAAGAACTCGTCGGATCTTGCGACGGCAAATCCAGTCCGATAAGAAACTTCTCGGCCAAGCAGATCATCCAAGCCACCGACAGATTCAGCCGCAGCAACTACGTCTGTGGAGATTATCACTACGATTGCTACCGAGGCATGCTCGATGGCCGCATCGTGCTTATCAAGAAATGGTCCTATGGAGTTTTCTCCGAGAAGGTTTACCGAGACATAGCCGTTTCGTCGATGGTGAGCGGCCACAAGAACTTCCTCAAACTGTTGGGATGCTGTCTTGATTTCGCTTACCCGGTTCTCGTCTGCGAATACTCAGATCGTATAACCCATATAACACGTAGCTTCCTCAATGCACATTATACCGTAGATCCGATCTTGACATGGGATAAGAGGATAGATATACCAAAGGGGATTGCAAATGCTGTCACTTATCTTCATACTGCATTTCCGAGGATCATCATCCACAAGGATATTCATCCTTGTAACGTGTTCTTGGACGGGAATGGAACCGCAAAGCTGAGTAATCTCTGTTATTCTGTTTACATTCCGCAAGGCGAAACCTTTGTTCAAGATACAGTAGAGGGGGTGTACGGTTATCTTGATCCCGGCTACTTTTCCTCGTCGAGGGTCACCGAGAAAACAGATGTATACAGCTTTGGAGTATTCATGCAAGTTCTCTTTACCGGGAAAAAGGCGTATCTGTACTCTGAATCACATCCAGATACCGTGGAGTGTGGCAAATCTGCAGAAGATGGAAGAATACCGGGTTTTTATCGGCAGTCCCTTCCTTATTATCTGGTCAAGCTGTCTGAAAATGGAAAATCAGGTATAGAGGCGGCGGATCCAAAGATGCTGGAAAAGATGGGAGAAGCTGCAGAGAAAGAACGGTGGCGAATGGAAGCTTTCCATAGACTGTCACTGAGATGCACCGGTCATATCGGGGAAGTTCCAAAGATGATGGAAGTGGCCAAGGAACTCGGAATGATCCAGAGATGGAAGGATCCATCCCTATCCGAAACCCATGTCATGGTTTCGCCCAAAGATGATCATCTTCCATCAAATCCGTAAATCGGTTTTGAACTTTTTTCTATATGTATACTTAAAGAACAGTGTTTGTTCTTCCCTGTCGTGAAACTTGAGTTACGAGCTAGAAACTTATCGGCTCTTTTTTGTCTCAAAACTTATCGGTAATGAGCAGATAGATAGAATGTCTCAAGTATAAACCACATGATCCATGTAATAAACACTGTTTCAAAGATACAAACAATGGCTGACTGAAACAGTTTTTTACTTCAGACCGGCCGCCAGTTTCTGACATCCGTAGCTGCTTTCATCTGTAAAATATCGAAAACGTATGGAATATACATTCTGGATTCATACCTTACATAGACCACACTTCTCGGAGAAGCTCGTATCTTGCATTCGTAGCCACCGGACCGACATTCTCATCCTTCTTCACATTCCCCTTGGGTGTCGCATTTGGTGATAGAGACACTTTATCGATAATCGATGTAAGAGGGGAATTCATTTCCTCCAGCTCCTCGTCGCTTGTGTAACCTTTCCTCTGTATCATAGACACGTTCCTCGATAACTTAGACACGTCTCCTGCCTCGGCTACTTTTTCCGCTACATCAACTGATGACGGAGGAATGTAGAAAACAGGGGAAGCTGCATAAGGGAAGCTTCTAGATGATTCTCCTGATAACTTCCGCCCGGGAAAGCTCTGCAAAAGTTGTTTGAAACATAACTTACAGTTTTGATTTTGGACGCGAGTACGAGGAGTTAAGAACTTTGTACCTCGGCATTGAGTTCTTCTAGGACAGCTCCAGGGACATGATCAGGACAGAACTCGTCGGGAGTGAAGTTGCAGAGTATTCTCTTGATCAGCGGAAGGCCAATGGAAGGGCACACCTGCAAGAAAAAGAAATCAAGAAAATATCGATGAAGCATATCGATTAAAAGGGCTGACAAAAGAGACGAAGATCGATGGAGAAATCGAACAGACCTCTTCTCTGATCGAACGGTCCATAAGCATGTCCTTTGGTAGCATCAGAAGATCACTCAGTTCATTTAGCAAAAGGAAAGATTTTACATGCTCACTGTTTCGGTTTTCGTCTTCTACAGAATCGTCAGAATTCAGACCGAACAGTTCGGTGAGGCATCTCGACCAATTTCCAACCTAGATTGCGACATTGCAGAACATTAGTCATCGTCTCTCATGTCTGAACAATATGAACTCTGAGATGCATTATGAACATATGTTTCTTGATGTATACCGCGTTTTTAAGCTGTGCCCCCGATCCAAAGCTTAAATCTCCGGCCGGAATAGGCAGAACCTTGGAATCTAGGATAGGATCCGAGACAGGATCTGTCGGGATCTGATGCTCTGACTCTCGTAGAATCGCATTGAACATGGCTATATCGAATCTGGCAATGCACTGCTCCATAACCTGGAAATACACAGACAATGAATCTCTGATTAAGTATGTAATATTTTCTTGAACTCTAAAGACGAAAACAGGATATGGACAAAAAACCCGATACCAGTCTAGCTAAAACGGGTAAGCAGCCGCATTCATGGCCGCTGCCTCGGATAGGACAAAGCCGTCTGAGAGCATCTTGGAAAGCATTTTTCCATAGGCTAATAGAAAAGTTTCCTTGCTGTTCATCGCCCAATGAAGGTCCCATCAGTTTCCCGTTCATTTTACCGGTCGAGACATCGGTTTCCGGGGATTGCATATGCGGAGTGAAAACCTTAATATATAAGAGAACAAGATTGAAAACTGAGAACACGTCAAATGTATCGATGAAAATCGTTCAGGAAATGCTTTACCTGCCACCAGACCGACTCGACGATTCTAGAGAATACCCATGATTCAACTTTCTCAAGAGCTGCAATGAATGTTTCAGTGTCCTGCCAATCCTCGAAAAGCTGGCTGAAGCCATTGGAGAGCTTAGTTCCAGAGCTCTTCCTCCATTTTTGGCTCGTCGGCTTCCCAGAACCATTGCTGTTCTTCCCATTTGAATCAGATATCTTTGTGGAAATGAGGGATCTTCCAAATGCCTGAGCAATGATCTCCCGTAAAGCAATGGCGTTCGACAACCAGAATGTCAATCTGAAACAACGGAACCGGGAACATACGATTTCAAATCTGTCGAAAACTTGATTTTGACAAGTAAAACAGCTCTGATTCTTTACCTCGGGACATCGTTTCCGCAAGACTTGGCGACCAGAATCAGACCAGACACGGTGTTTCTGGCGATCGTTGCACGGTTCCTCTGAGTCAAATGCTTGCAGGAATGGATGTAGAGCCTGGACAGACGCCGAGCCGGGGTATGCAACTTGTGGGCAGAGCTGGAGTGGTCGGGCACTACCGAATACAACGAAATCTCGAGTGCAGCTACTTCTCTCAGTTCCTCTTCGAGTTTCTCCATTCTTGTCTCCAAAGCTTCGATCTTTTGCTTCAACCCTTCGCTTTCACGTCCTCCCCGGCCGTTTTCTTTGCCGTCAGGCAGCTCGTTCTCGCTTCCTGCGCTAAGTGCTCCGGTCGAAGCATCCTCCCAAACCTCGGCATCTTTCGGTTCCTCGGCCATTCCATTGACATTGACAACTTCGGAAACAGATTTCACATCATAATCTTCTTCTTCTTCATCTTCTCTGTCTTCTTCTTCTTCATCTTTCTCCCCTTTCGCCGTTTTCTCTGTAACAATTCCAGAATCTGATCCTTGATGAGCATCTGAAGAGGAGGCATTGGCATTGTCATCGACGTAATGCACATCCACTGTCTCGTAAACCTCGCAAGACTCGGATTGCGTGGTCGGATCAGTGTTGAGATCTTCCTTAGCATCCAAAGCTTTGGGCTTTTCTTGTTCTTGAGATCTTTTGGCACCGTTCACTTGCTGCTGCTGCTTTTGTTCTCTTCTTCCGTTTTTCGCGGATCGCTTCGACTGAACATTTTTAGATGGCCTTCCTCCCTTCATCATCATCGAGCTCTTTCAACTTTCTCTGCTGCAACCAAATGTCCCCTCTGCGACAAAGTTGGAAGCTTTGCTTTGAATTTTCTCAGTAAAACGCCAAAACACGAAATAATTCCCAGCGAATAAGTGGCCCAAGAAAAAAAAATCGAAAACAGCTGTGGTTAGATGTAAAAGGGCGAATTTTTTCGACAGAGACTGGCAAAAGACAGAACCCAGTGGGATATATTCCTGAAAACCACGACGCAATATGGAGAGCGAGAAAGAAAACAGACATCATTTTCAGAACTCCGAGATTTTGTCTGAATCGCCGAAGGACAAAAGTTGGCGTCAGAAAATGGAGAAGACCCACACAAGGCAATCAGCAGATTCACCATTCCCAAGTTGCTAGAGATTTTCAAGAACGATTTTATGATGCATAGATTTGGTAAAAGGAACTGCCTTTTCTCAGTGTCCGAGAAATTTATCCCTTTCAGACAAAAGCATAAACAGATCATGAAGATTCACAGATCTATTTACAAATAAAAAAAAAAGTCGCAGCATTTGTAAATAATCAACCATTCCCGCAATCCGCTCATCGCATTGAAACTAAAAACGAAAGATGAACAAAACTCGTAGTTAGATGCAGAGAAAGAAGGAAAGATTTACCCGTTTCTGAAATCTCTCGAGAAGAAAACAAAAGGAAAACAGAAAGCGGCTGCTTCACTTGGGGATCTTCATCACCGGAAAAAACCAAACCATTTGCTGTCTCTCTCCAAAGGACAGTTACTTTCTCTCTCAAGAACCTACGTTCAGTGGAAAAGCAAGCGTCTTGATTTCTGCGTGAGTGAGTGTTGGAAACCGTAACGCCTCTCTCTCTCTCTCTCTCTGTGGTGGGTTTTCAGAAAATGTGAAGATCAGAGTGCGGGAAGTTTAAAAAAAAAAAACCATAACCATGGGGGGATCGTGAAGGCGGTACGGGGCGTGAACCACGTGGTTTTAGGCGTAACCGGTGACCGGGAAGTCGTGTCGGTGGCCGGAGAGTGTACTGGCAATGACCGGTCACGTCGTACTGTATTCGTACCGTATATGAATCATGGGGAGGACGAATGATTTAATGCCTCCTTTTAAATGGCCGTATCGTCCCTTTCACATACATTTTTTTTGGGTCCGGCTCTTTTTCTCACGTGATTACGATTCATTACAGTGTGTGATATTAAACACGAAGATTCGATATAAGATTATGCATTTACAAGCAAATTCAGAAAAAGTCAATGAACACCAACAAATTTAGAAAAAAAAAAATCCAAGGGAATCGAGGGTTTAGTCAGTTGAACAATGAAACATGCATACTTCGTCAGTCTGACAGGATGCAGTTGTGGAACGCATCAAAAAAAAAAAAAGATTGAGAATACGATATAATATATATTTTGAGCTTTTGGATTTCCAGCTGTCATAAAAGGGAAATAAATTAGAGAAACTTTCGTTATTATTATTTTCTATTTATTAAATTTTGAATAGGAAGAAGCTTCTGCGTCAGAAAAATAAAGGAGAGATATTTTCATAATTTTACTGGATTATTAAAGATGAACAACGTGAAGAATACAAAAGGGAAATGAATAATAATAACAAATAATAATAATAATAATAATAATAATAATAATAATAATAATAATAATAATAATCGGCAAGCACTTTTGATTTGGCAGTCACTCGTCAGTGATCGGATCACACAGCATCTCGGCATTGCAATTATACAATCTCTCTCTCTTTCTTACCCCTTCGGGTTCACGCGGGGAGGAGGGGCAGTATGGTCATTGTCGTATCCAAACCTCACACCAACACCGACACCGACACTGACGTCACTGTTCGAAAGATGCCAGCTTCTATTTATTTTATTTTTTTAATCCGAATACGGAGCTTGACCTAACATTTGGTCATTGCCTCGATGGGCAATGGGATGGATGGAGAAGTACCGAAAAAAACAAAAACATCTGGCGACTGAGAGTCTTGCCTGATAAGGACAACGTAACTGAGGCAGACAGAGAAGGATAATGCCGTAAATCTCTACCAAGCACAAGCATGTGACCTTCCCCCCCGATCAAAGATTTACATTATTTTGTTTCAACTTGAGATCAATCATTGAGGCTTGGGTGGGGGCTTCAGCATTACCCAACTCTTTCCACAAAGAGAGCTCAGGGGAAAAAAACCCATTTCCCAATCCATCTTATACTTAATGTTTTTTTCCCCTGCAAAAAGAGTGAAAAAGAAGCACTTGCAGCCAATGGAGGAACCGTTTCCATAACCTAAGAAGCCACTCTCTTTGATACAAGTGGCAGAACCCATGCAGTTAAAAACGAGGCAACCAACAAAACGGACTATTTTCCACAACCAAGAACAGTGCCATAGAAAGGCCCTTTTGCAGGGTAGGAGGTCTAAGCAAAGATGAAGGTGGCAATGGATGATGGGTTTGGGTTACAGCCACAGGAATTTCAATAGACGGAACCAATGCTTCCTGAGAATGAGATATCTTGCAGGAACATATTAGCAAAACTGCAGAAAACCCAGAAAAGATGAAGAGATAACGAGAGAATGAGAGAACAGAGCATGGAAAGTAAATAAAAGACTCGGGCAAGTAGAAGTACTTCTCACTATATTCACTGACCAGAGGATCCACCAACCAGGACCTACCCTTCATGAGTGATACAGTTCTTACCTCCTATCCTGTGATTTGTTCACCAAGAAGATAATCAAACCCTGACAGATCCCACCTATCTAACAACTATACCCGTTTTCCAAAACATCAAGTTTTTCATGCTGTATCACTCTACTTTCCACAAGGGGTTCACTGAAACCCTATATCCCCCAACAGTCAACACTGAAGTCAGTTGAGGGCTTATTACTCAAACACCCAATATCTACAATGTGTGCAGCAAAGAAGCTCTGATATGTTAATCTTCAAATCTATTCTCTAGGGTTTTCAGTGTATCCGTCCGTGTCAAATTTCTAACGTGCTTTTAACTAACTATTGACCTCATAGATCGGGGGTATCAATCTTACTAAAAATTACAATACAAACCCTTACATTGTTTTCCCCCCTCAAATTTAACGATTCCACAATTCCCAAAAGACGAGTATGCTGAAATTTGGAAATGAAACAGCTAAAATCTATTAACATTGGCTTGGTTCAGGAAAAGCCTGCCTTCCACTACTTAATCTGAGCATTCCAAACAAGAATGTGTGTGCTAGACATGGCGAATAGTATAGCAGAAAAACAGCTATTCCTTGCTAGCATTCATGATCTGAAGATTCTCAAGGAATGGGATAAAACAGTCTGACCCAACCCAAACAGCACCTTATACTGACACCTTCCAACTACTTACAAAATACAAACCACAAATTGACACTAGAATCTAAAGACTTTTGGAATCGATCATAGCAAGTTAATAACATACATTGCACAGTGAGGCAAAGAATTTGAAAACACCAAAACACGAAATTTCAATGCAAGACATGCTTGAATGGTAGGCCGTAAAAATCAGCCTAATGTGTTGTATCTGTAGGAATAGAACGAAATATCCTTACCCCGATAGCACCTTCATTGACACCCCTCCAGTTACTACAAACTATCAGTTGCCAATGATCGGGATACTTTGCACGGTTGGTCGAAGCATGTAAACCAGAAACAAACCAAAACCTAATCACAAGATCATACACTGTAAGAGAACCATTCATTCCAGACGTTTTCCCGAGCAAACTGCAAAGTCATAACCATGGAACTCCAAGACTCGTACCAGTTGAAAAGAACACCTAAAATTACCGATGCGTATCAACCAACCCCATCGAAATCACTTGAACCAATCAAATCTGGTGCGGACATTAGGTAAAAACAGGGAATCATCAAAATTGATACTGAAGTTAACATATAACCATTGTCAACAGTTAAAGACAATTTATTTCATAAACACCATTATCGACAAAACGATTAAAAGGAAACCCTAGTTCTCAAGTTGTCGTGATCATAAACGGAAAAAACCCTCCATTCCCGGGGGCAAAAAAACAGACATACCAGATCAACTGCCGGACCAAATCAACCAACGCTCTCATATCAATCGGAAGATTCTCCGGCGGACGCAAGCTTCTCCATCTCGAGCCTCTCGAGAGCTTTCTGGTGAGCCCACGTCTCGATGCTTAGATCGGGTTTGGCGTTGAGACCGACACCGAGGATCACGATCGTGAGAAAGCTGGTGATGTAACATGGAAGCTCCCAGTCCTCCCACTTGCGCGACTGTCCCGGAGGCGGAGGAGGCCGGTTCAAGAGGTAACCCTTGGGACGCTCCTCGTGACCCGGTGTCGTCCACCGGCTCGGACCGGAGGACGTGGATCCGGACCGGAAGAAGAGCCTTTGTCGGAGTGCCTTCGCTGCGACGGTCAACGGCTTCGCCGACGGCATGATTGTGGCGTTTCTGATTTCCTCTGAGGGGCAGAGACGAAAGGGAAGAGACTGAATCGCGGTGGAAGTACTATATTGCAACACGACCTATGCTTCTATGAGTCCTGAAAACTACGCCGTTTTGGGAACAATCGGAATCCACAATAATACGGCGTCGCTTCCTCTCCTTTTGACCGCCTTATGGTTTTGTAGTTGGGACGGGCCGGACGGCAGTTTAGTCCGGTTTTACCAAACCGGATTTGTAACCGATTTGTAGAAATTGTTTGAAACTGAAATTATATCATTTTTTTTATAAAATCAGACAGTCTAACTTAACTCAATGTATCAATCTAGTCAAGTTTATGCCAACAAACAAACCCGATGTACCTATGGTTCGGGACTAATTCAAATCAATGTTTTTCCAATCCAAATTGAACCGATTGAAACCAAACCGATACCGATTCATAACCAATAAAAAAACGTACGCACAGAATCAATCTTATGAGTGACCAGAACTGAAGCCAAGGAACGAGACATTATCCACAGTCGAGGGACTAAACTCCAGAGGAACATTCCAAGCAGAGACAGGACCATCAGACCATCTCATGTTAACATTCTCAACACTGAATCCTTTTACATGTTCCATGATTATCCCAGACGTGGCCTTATGATTCACCAGACCTCGGCATCCGGGTCTGTAATCCACCAATCCCGCGCTGTAATTCGTCCATCTTCTGAATGTGAAGTTCATGTTCATGAACTTTATGTCGGAGAGCAGCCCGTTTGAGGATCCCGACAAGAAGACGCCGTTCTCTGAATCAGCGGTTATGTTCACGAACAAAAGGTTTGAGATTGAACCTTCCTTTGTTGCGGAGTTTCGAGGGCATGTCGTTATGTAGATTGGCTCTGCTCTTCCCCACCATGACGGATCATAGTATCTGGTACTGATGTTTATGTTCGAGAACGTAACATCTCTCACGTTCCCTGAACACAAACAAAAAACTCGATCAAATCGACAAGATGTTCCAATTCATGATCTGTTTAACTTTGAAAATGCTGAAAAGGGTACGTACCTCCGTCACGAATCTGCATTCCGAGGCCTCTGTGGGACTGGACGATGGTGATGTTATCGAACAGGAGGCCCTTGAACTCGAACAAGCTGGCGCTTCCGAGCTTGATGGCGGAAGATTTGGTGCGGATCCAACAGTGGGTGGCGGTCAAGTTGTAGAGAGGAGCAGTGTAAGTCTTGGGACAGATCGCATCGTCGCCGGTATCGATGTGACATCTGGTGATTAGGGTATTGTTCGAATCCTCAATGTCTATGCCATCGTTGTTCGGAGTGTTGAAATCTCCATTAATGGATACGTCGTGGATGGTCGTGTTCTCACACCTCACAACGTGCAAGCTGCATTTCGCCATTGCCGAATTAACCGAAATTAACCAATCCGGTCCGAATAGAACCAAACCGGTTTATGTTCCTAGGGGATTTGGATTGGAGGAAAGGGGAAAAGGGACTAACCACCAGTAAGCAGGCTCTCGGAGAGTGACGTTCCAGATTCGAACGTTTCTGGAATCGACGAACCCTAACAATCGAGGCCTGCACTCGTCCCCTAAGCAAGCGCCGGTCTGGTTCCAACTCACCATCACGTTCTTCCTCTCATCGAATCTCACCACGAACTTCGATCCCTGCCCATCGATCGCTCCTCCGCCTGTGATCCCCACGTCCGTCGCGTTCTCCGCCACCACCACGTACCATCCCGACGAATTCTCCGCCGGATAGTCCGCGATTCTCGGTCCCCCAAGTATCACCGCCTTCTCCGTCACATCGAGCACCACGCCTGATCGGAGACGCACCGTCGCGGTCAGGTAATTCCCGGGAGGGAAGACGACGCGGCAGACGGAGGATGAGATGCGGTGGCTGTGGCAGGCGTCTATGGCGGACTGAATTGCAGTGGTATCGTACTGGACGCCGTCGCCAACGGCGCCGAAATCAGTGACGGACACGGCGCCGTCTCCGTCGCAGGGGAGCTGGATCGTTGACGGTGACGTGTAAGGATGTGATTGGACGAGAGAAAGTAAGAGGATGAACAATGACGTTGGCACAAGGAGCCCATTGGCCATTGTGATTTCGTCTGATCTGATCCAATCATGGACGGCTTTGGAAATACATTTATACCCATTTCCAATTGGGCCAAATTTGTCCAATTTCATTTTTAAGAAATCATTTTGTTATTCGTTTGTAAAATTGAGCAACAACTTTTATATATATATATATATATATATTTGTTTGACCAAAATCTTACCCGGAGTTAAATTTTGTAAGATTTTATTTAGGGAATATCCCAAAACAATATCTGAATTTCTCAATTTTCACAAAATAAATTCTAAACTTTATTTTTTATCAAATAAAACCTCAATTTCATTTTTCAATAAAAAATTAATTTAAACTTTATAATCTTTGTCATTTTTAATCCTATTGTTTACATGACGTTTCGACATCCTACGTGACAAGTCAATATTTTGACTGTATTTAACACGATATTGAAACGTCATGTAAGCAATAGAGTTAAAAATGACAAAGATTATAAAATTCGGATTTATTTATGATTAAAAAATGAAGTTGATCTTTTATTTGATAAAAAAACAAAATTTAGGTTTTATTTCGTGAAAATTGAGAAGTTCGGATATTGTTTTGGGATTTTCCCATTTTTTTATTGCTATATGTGCATATCATATAGTAATTTTACTAATTTACGATATATGTATTACATGTTCCTACGCATTACCCTAAAGAAAACATTGCATAAAAGGAAATACATTCCACTTTAAATTTGTAAATGATTCCTTCAAAAATAAACGATAAATATATGTAAATAGGAAATACATTCCTATAATTTTACTAGATTAAGAAGTTTTTTTTATATATATGGATACGATTGTACAAAACACTAGATCTCAGGAGCTTTAAATTTGGTATACATTTCATTTTATACAAAAATAGAAAGACATTTCATTTTATTTGACAATTTGGTATAAACAAACCGAGGTCGAACCAATTGGTTTTACACCGAAAGTACAAATTGATTTCGAACTAAAGTCCATAACAGTGGTCATAGAAATTTACCCAAAGAATTCCGGAAAATATTAGGAATATAATTTAATAACAGATAACTCTCTAACTCTTGGTAATTCTCATTATTAAACAAATATGCGAAGTTAATGGATATATAGTTTAATATCATATGAGATAAGGTTCGGATTCTACATGGACGATGATGATTCAGGTAAAAACACAAATTGGTCATGGACACCTCAACAAGATAATCAATCATTAACGATTGGTCCATCTAAAATGATTGCTCATATATAGACGCATTTATACGACTTATATATATATATATATATATATATATATACAGAGTAATGTCTAAATGGGGTAGAACTCAGAGCTCCATTTTGACCTGGTTTTGGAACAAAGTCGTCGACGAACCCACCATGAAATTTTCAGACACCGTGAAGTCATCATGTTCATGTTCATGTTCATGGACATCGACATTGACATTGACATGGTTGTCCTCTTCTCTTCCCCATACCTGCTGTTGGAATGCGTCGAACGGCCATTGCTGCTGCTGCTGCTGATGGAATGATTGTCCATTTTCCATTGCATGTGGCCATGCCATCACCATTGTCGTCCCTCCCGAGAAGCTCCCATCCATTAGAGAGCCGCTCTGCAAAAAAAAAAAAACAGATCCAACATCGGGATGAAACACTTAGCCAATGTAGTTCAACAGGTGAAACTGAGACGTTTAGCGTCTATCCTATTCCAATTTCGAACCCTCAAGAGTTCAGAGAGGAACAGACGCACGGGTTTTACCGACATTAGTCTAGCCTCGGGTTCAAGATACCCAGTTACCCAAAACTTAAACGGTTCCGTGTCCTTTTTGGACCAAAACCCAGAGATCATTCATGGCAGGTGGACCTGTTATGTTTCTTCAATTACAGAGTTCTAAACAGGAGAGGCATTTAATAGTGTGTCCAGTTTCAGGATCATGGACAGAAGAGAGATAATTTCTGTAGAGAAACCAACACAGATTGGGTAACAGAGAAGGTGAAACACAAGAACAAGTTTTGGGAAGAGACCCACTTGAGAAAAAAAAAACAATAATATCAATAATTGTAAAGAGAGGACGATAAAGACATCAACGCCATGTCCGACCAGTAGACAAACTGAACAAGGTGGTCCGATTGGTCTGACCCACTAGAGGGACTCGTCCCTTTTTTTTTTTTAGATTTTTATAAAATAAAACGACGTAATGAAGAAACCTAAGCCTTAACAAGCTGTGTACTGAATCTTGCACGGCGTTTCCTTTTTTTTTTCTTCCCGTTTTCAATCACGTGAGTGAATGTTGATTTCCTAAACCCTAGTCTGAAAATGGTCTTGATTAATGTTGGATCAATAAATATCCATAGTTTCTATTTATGTGATCCCCCCAACCCAACAGCAGCTACTACCCAGAAATGATCATCCCTATGGCTACTTAAATGAGAAAGAAAGGATCTTGTTCTTGTTCTTGAATTTATATTTTTTTTTAAAGATTTTTTTTTACTGTGTGAAAGATCACATGGTGCGTTTAAGAAGCTTACTTCTGTTGCCAATATGCTGTCCAGATTGAAGTCGATCCTCGGGTTTACGGCCGCAAGCCTCATCGATAACAGCTGGAAACCCGAGATCGGGTTCACAAGAAGAAATATATCAGGAATTTCACTGACAGGATCGAAGGAAAATGGAATGGCTTTATAATAACCCATTGCCAAGAAAGAAGAAGGGCAGGCCTCACCTCCACTTGGCGTTGTAGAGACTGTACATGGTTAATGATTTCATCCAGCACCAGAGCAGTTCCTTGAATCTGCATTTCAAAAGCTTTCTGGTAAGTTTTAACATAACACAGGGCCACTTAATCTTGATTAGCTCAAAAAACGTCGAAACTTTGCACTGCTAACTTCACAAAGATTCCAACTTTCATACCCGAAATTGCGGGAAAACCGACAAGACCGAGTATGTATCTATTAACACCCAGTAAGAATCTATGAAACTATATCCCAATAGTATTAAAGATCCTGTATAACTAAAACTATGACCAAGGGGGTTCCTCCATTGAGTTTCATTCATGAACAAGTTCTCTCTAGCCCTGATTGACCCAAGAACTTCAACAAAATCTTAAAACCTTGATGATGATCATTCCCTTATCTTCTTCATAGTATCTTCTACAAGCAATAATTGCAGATAACTTCCAACACAGAATGATAAATTGGATGTCCGCAGTGCGTCACATCATGTTTCCAACCAATTAGGTATGTGGGACTAAGGCATATCAATATATTCGTAAAAAGGATCCTTGCTTTATCGTCGTCCTTTTACTGATAGATACCGAACTTGTTTGAGACGATACTATCCTCCACACCATCCATGGAAATTCTCAAACCTTTTTTTTTTTTTTTTTTTTTTTCACTATCAACACAAATGGACCCCCAAAGGGGAAAAAAAACTTATGATCTTCATCTATCCACCATAACTTGTCCCCTAACCTATGACCTTAAGGGCACGTTTCCAGCTAGCATTTCCACACAAACCCCCTTCTCCCACCATCCAATTCCCTTTTGCAGTTCATTTACCTTCTTTCCTTAGCCTTAAATCTAGTAACTTTCAAGCTTCAATTAACGCCTTTTTGCACTTATCAACACAAATGGACCCCCAAAGGGGAAAAAAAACTTATGATCTTCATCTATCCACCATAACTTGTCCCCTAACCTATGACCTTAAGGGCACGTTTCCAGCTAGCATTTCCACACAAACCCCCTTCTCCCACCATCCAATTCCCTTTTGCAGTTCATTTACCTTCTTTCCTTAGCCTTAAATCTAGTAACTTTCAAGCTTCAATTAACGCCCTTTGAGACAAAATCCAGTTACCAAGTCTCATCATTTCCATACCACTACTCTAATCTTATGCAGGAGAAGGAAAAATATCAGATTTTTGGGCGGTGAAAATTTACCAAACTTGGCCATTTTGGCACACCAGAAGGCACTTTTCTTCGTGTAAAAGCAAGCAAACAAGCAACTCGCCTTTTGGGGGAAAAAAAACTAAAAGGGTTTGGAAAGAAAGGATTGAGACCCTTATCAAACCACGTTAATCAGATTATATAATTGTGCTTCATCTTTTTTTTTTCAGAGTCAATTAAAGAAATATTCTGTCGTTAAGCACAAATCAGAGATCAAATGATTGATTAACATTTTCATTAAACATCGTAATCAAAAGGCAAACCTTATCACATCCTGGGACCAGCTCCTGTAGCAGCTTCATTCGTGCGTTTATTTTCTCCCTTCTCGCCTGTAATCCCAAAAACTTAATGGTGATTAGCCGCTAATTAAGAAAGGTTAACTCTTTTGACTTAACCCAGAGAGGTTTTATGCAAATTACTCGCTCTGCTAAGCTGTGGCTGTCAGTGGCTTGACCTCGACGAGCCCTAACATGGACATATGGAAGCTTATCGGCCTCTTCTGAGCTCTTGGTCTTCTTCGTTGAGCTTTTGACCTAGAAATTGAGATGCACGAATTTAGCCACTGATCACTGGTTAAAATTAAGCAATGTAATGAATCGAGGTTTTGATGGAGAATCATTTGTTTGTATCACCTTCTTCTCGCGTTCTTTCCTCTTCCCAGACCGATTGTTCTGGTTCTGGGTCTGGTTCTGGCTCGGGCTCTCGCTCTCCACCATTGGATCAGAAACCAACCGCTGAGATGAGTCGGTCTCCGTAGGCTCGGCCTTGACCCTGTCCAGATTCGCGCTTGAATTCGACGGCACCGAGACATTGCCGTTCTGCTCCGTCGCGGCGACCGAGAAGCGAGCCGCGCGCTCCATGAGGACAGTGTTAGAAGGAAAAGTCAACGTCCCGAAAGGGTGAAGCGGCGGAGCGATTTCTCCGGCGACGTTCGTCGGAGGACAAGAGGAATCGGAGAAATGGAGGAGCTCCATGGCTTGGGTCGACGGAAGCTCGAGCAAGGCAGTGAACGAGCCGCCATTCTCGTGAGGCATCGTCACCAGTTGCCGGAATTCGTCACTGAAATTAAGAGATTCCAGTCCGGTTACCTCCCGACACGGGCCACTGACGGTGGATCTAGCTCCAAGTCCTCCGTTCAGATCCATAAACGGCAAGCTCACCAATAATCTCCGACAACAACGCCGTAATACACGAAACAGAAGCAAACCCACTTCAATTCACGAAGAACGGCAGCGACCCGCTTGATCAAGTGGCTCGAGTAACGCAGATTACAGCCCTCAGTGGTCGAATTGAATCTCTCTTCCAGCGGCAGAGAAAGAAAGAGGTGCTTGACCAAGTTAATTTCACTTTGTCAGTTAGCGAGCATATAACGGAGAAGACGAGAAGTTTAAGCGAAGAAGTGGCATCAATGGCGGTCAAAGCACCAGGAAAATCTCTCTCAGAGAGAATTTCCTGAAGAGGGTCTTCTTCTCCGTTTCGAGTCTCTTCTCTCTTCCCTGAGCGAAAGATTACTTCAGAGCCGTTTGGAGTAGGATGAAAGCAACATTAGCTGCGGAATGCGTCTGTTAATAAAGCCATTCCTAGAGAGAGAGAGAGAAAATATGTCTGGTTAGAGAGAGAAAGAGACGGAGAAAAAAAAAATTAAATATTAAAAAATAAATAAATAAACGAAAACTAAATGCTTTGTACGGACGGTTCTAACTTCTAACTGAACAGTTTTTGCTGGATCCCAAAGGATATGAGTTGGGCCTTTGGGCTTTTACCCAATGGCAATTACAGGAAAATAATTTCGCAATTATTGTATATTAAATTATTATCTTTAATTATTGGCCGTACCTAATAACGGCACATATTTGAATCCCATCGTAGATTTGATTTATTATTCCTCCCGCAGGGCCAGCTTGCTGTCTGATCCCATTTTATTAAAAGGAAGTGAGAATTTCAATTGGAAAACAAAAAATAAAATTAAATATTATTTATTAAAGCTTTTATTATTTCACTTAAGAAATGGAAAATAAAAATAGAAAGCTTGTATACCACACATATTTAATGCTCGTTACCAATGCCATGTCAGATTCTTATTATACCTTTTTCCTTAACTACTGATGATACGGTCCATACGGACTCCAACTTCAATGGTCGAAAAATTATAAATAAAATAAATTAACAGAATTTTATAACTTTAGCCGCTAAAAAAATATACTGGGAAACCGGGGAAAAAAGAGATGTTACCAAAAAAATAAATTTATGATTCATAATACAAACATTTGTGTTTTAGAGTGAAAACATAGTTATTTAAAAAAAAATTAATATCCGTTTACGTTTTTCACGAATTAACGATGAAAGATCGTAAAGATAATGACCAAATTCGGTATCCCTTTTGATTAAACATTGGGAATTATGATTCTTATAACTGTATCATTTTTTTAATTACAAAAAAAATAAATTATTCTCATCTGAATAATGAATATCCTAATTACGGTATCTTTATGTTACATGTTGTTAGAAAAATAAGGAGGAAAACAAAATGTGAGGAGAGAAGTGGGACCCATATAGGAGGGGAATATTCCCTTTGACTCTATTGGGCCGGATTAATGTCCATATAGGCCCAAACCTAATTTCCGGTCCTTTTCTTTTCGTTAAAAAAATTATTCCAATGAATTTTGAAATCAAATGTTTGGATTTTTTTTTTTCCTACACCAAAACATTCCACTTAGTTCGAACGCTCAAGAACTCCATATGTACCTAAAATATATTATTTATTTTCAGTATAGATTGGTAAATAAATTAATTAGAAGTGCTAGTGTTTTTTGTTCGTTTCCTCATCTCTCTCATATATATACACACATATACACATATATATATATATATAGGTGTAATGTAGGGAGTAGTAATGTCTCAATCATGGAGTAGGGTACAATCGTTTTTTTGGTAATTCCAATTCGGCAAGGATACGACCTCCCTCACCTGCATTCCCTCTTTGGTCTCGGCGTCGAAATCGTAGCCATACGTTACATGTATGTACGTACGTACGTATGTATATACATGGTATATGATCTGATCCGATATATATACGTATAATGGTCCAATGACATGCCCTGTCTAAAGAGTAGTTTGGATCTTATTTGTCTCGTTTCTGTCTTTTTTTTTCTTTTTTCACATTCAAATAAGATATATATATATATGTGATCGTGCATGCATGCATGCACGGGGATATTATATATTAGACAAAAGAGTTTATTTAAAGTGATTAGAAATAAGTATTTATCGAAACCTAATTTATGTAGTGGAGTCGCTATCAACGTCAAATAAAATACTAAAACTTTAATATGTATTTTTTTTTTTCATTTTAGACTTTTTCGTGTATAAGCATACAATAAGAAAAACTAATTTGTTTTTTTATATATATAAAAATAGGATAAAATTGTATTACAAAGGCACATCAACGTATCGCATTCAGATTGGGATGAATTTTAAAAAAAAAGATGGATATTGGCGAGACCACAAAGATTTTAGAAAATCTGCATGGAAAATAAATGATAAATAAATTCGTGTAAAAAAAATACGAGGGCGTTCGTTTTTAAGTGGGCCTGGGTCCACGTGTGTGTCACGTGCTTCTGCCCCATAAACCCTTTTTATAGGGATGGTGGGCGGAATTCATTTCATTCCTCCTAACTTATACTTGGATAAACAAATAAATACATCCGACCAAGAAACCTAATAAAAATTAAACAATATAGAGTTATATTAAATGAAATAAGATATAAAAAAAAGAGTATAATATATTTTTTCTCAAAATGAATTTGAAATGATTCATAATTTAATATTAAAATAATCGAAAAATGTACGGGTATGAAAATTAATTTAGAAAACGATTTTTCTAATAATAAAATCACTTATTGTACTTAAATCATTTAAAATATAACAACAAAAATAAATATCCTTTCGATATTAAAAAACGAACTAAAAAGTAATTCAAAGTTTACAAATATATATTGATAAAAATCGAAGAAACTGTGCAAAGGTCGAGAAACCCCGCACTTGTTCGGAAAAATTCATTCATCCGATAAATTTCTCTAACTATGACTCCCTTATCGATCCTATAGATTCTCAATCACGGTAACGATATCTCCAGAAGTATATACAAAATCCAGATTTAGATCGCCATCGTAATCTGCGTCGATCCATATCTCAAGTCGATTAGCAGACCGACTTACACCATTCCAAATCCTATTATTATTATTATTACTTGCACTATACATTTTCGTGCGATTTACATTTTTTTTTTAATAATTCTTTTAATCATATATTGCTTTTTGTTCCGATGGAACATTTATATTTTAAATATAATTATTTATTATAGTTTAGTAAACAGATATTAGCAAGGACATTTGGGGCTGAAATATTAACGCAGCCCTAATGTAGCAGACAATCCGATCTACATGGCCATCTAAAAAAATCTCAAATTTCCAACATAATGATCCAATCCTACAAAAACTAACATTTTAAATAAAAATAAAAAAAAAAACAAAATAGATATTGCATTTTGGAATACGACTTTTGAAATTACGTTCCAGAATGTCGCATTCCACAGTTATTCCCCGAATAGAAAGATCGAAAATGCTATGCCAAAAGAGATTTTTGTAACCAAACATAAAAAAAAATAAAAAATAAAAACGAAAGAGGATTTTTAAACGAATTTTTTTAAATAGAAGATTAAATACGGATCATCACATTTAACGGGGCCCAAAGGACAGGGACCGAACAACAGGTGGGCCTCAATGTTGAGACCCAAAAGGGACACGTGATAAAAGTAGGACCCACGTGGTGAAAAAAAGTTATCAGCCCGCGAAAACGACAGGGCGTGACGCCTTGCGGGACCCACGGATCAAGTGGAAGAGTGAGTGGGCCCAGGTAAACAGTTGTTGGACCTAAATGGGCCATGAGAGCTAGACGAGGATATGGGCCCAATTCATTGATTGTAGCAGTGTCCTTGTGCTTGTACCTGAAACGGCAAGCTGTTCGTATAGGCTGCCTGCAATGCCTGCCGTTTCCGGCAAAGGCCTCTGACACGATAAGCTTTCTGTTGGGTTCCGAATTTATTTATTTTTTTTCCGGGGTTCCGAATTTATTATTTCCCCAACATATTTTCTGGAGATTCCTCTATCGATAAATTCATTATTTCGGAAAATATGCGGACGTACCCTTTTCTCTACTTCCCAAAGATGATATATATATATATATATGTATATATAGACCCAAGAAAGATTGTGATATATGCGGCTTGTGGCGGCAATGCTAGTTCTAAAGACTAGCTTGACGATATAGAATTAATGCAAGTTGGTTAGTTAGAGCGTAAGGTGGTTATTCTAGGTTTAGCGAATTATTTAATATTAGTCGCATTGTAGAGAGCTTGTCAATTGATAAAGTTATTCTTTATAATCATAAATTTTGTATAGCTATATATTCTTTATCATTTCTTGATTCGAATATGGGATAAGAGTATACTTTGTATAGTCTTTTACCACCGGTGTAACAAAGCTTGGATTTTTGTAAATTCCTCTATCGTGTAATAGTTTGCAAACCGCACGAGAGATTTAAATTAGTCTAAGACTCTAGATTACGCATAGCAGATTCATCGTGGAATAAGATAAAAAGATTCGAAACTCTAATCAATTATCTGGAAAGATATACATTGTCATATGAATCTATGATACACTAGTTAAAAACCATCAAGATTTGATCAAGAAATCGAGCAAAATCTTCAAAGCAGGCATCTTTTGATCAATTCATGTCACCCTTCCATATATCATAAACTATGATGATGATGATGATGATGATGTATCAAATGGATGTAACAAAGCTTTCTTTTTCTTTTGATAACTAGGAGATTCAATGAGGATATAATAAGCTAAGTTATATTACACGATATTTTTATGTCAAGTCATCACCATTGGATTCCCTACATATCAACAGAATATCAAGAGCAAGATCATGAAGGAATGGTAAACCAAAAACACCGTTTTATTTTAATAATCATTTTCTGGTAAATGATGGACTGATACAAAATCAGATCCCAGGCCATATTTATTTTCCAGGAAAACCGAACAGAAAATATAAAACTTCCCCATCTCTTTTAGTTTTCTTGGACACAAGCAAGAGTATCCATCCAATTCCAAGCCCACATCTATACTCTTGAAGTCCAACCCAATTCAAGGCCCAATTTTGAAAGCCCAACCCATTTAAAATCTGTTTGATCATTGGCTGAAAGACGCCATCTTTTGCCTTTTGGTGGTACATAGGATGCCAATGACTGTATATATATATATACATACATACATACACGTATAGGCCAAGAATACGGCAAAGAAGATTTCATCATCATTCAAAATCTAAACTTTGGCCACATACCCGAATCGATTAGAGTCTCTGAATCTTTCTTTCAGTTGGTCGAATTCAAAGTTTGCAATTGCAATATGTCGCAGCGGAGTTTTGAATTGAAAGAAAGATGTGATGAATTTACGAAAATGACCTTAAGGGTGGGAGAGACAGAAGTGGGATACTCACATGCATGTAGGTTGTTGTCAGGTGGTGATGATTTTCTCTGACACCACCCAACCCTCCCTCTTTCTTTTTTTTTTTTTTTTTGAATTTAAGCTCTTTTTTTATACTTTATTTGATTACAATTTCGAACAATCATCTCTCTCCGTCGCTTTTTGTCTTTCCATTCAAAAATATTGTACCAGCACGCGAGTTAAACCGAATCGAATGGCTACATAAGCTAATTTATTTATTTATTTATGTAATTAGAGTGTCAATCATCAAACTTGAACATATAAAAGTAATTTCAAAATAATCATGACGATTAATCTGATACTATTAAGTATTAACTAATTTACATTAAAAAAAATAAAATATAATAATACGACTGCGTACGGTTTTCAAATGTGTCCAATTTGAAAAACTTGTCCTGATTCACAGCTTTCAAGTTTTCAGTAATAAAGCGTTCTTCGTGTCCGTTTTCCAATAAAAATCCAAATCCAAAACTAATCGACAATCAGTCCTTTATAATTTAATTTAAAAAAAAAATTAGATTAATCAAATCAACAGAGACAACAACCCGCCTGCATCATGCATCCATCGGTCAATGACAAAAATCTTGGATTTGAGTTAACATTAATTACTTTATATTTATTATTATTATTATTATTTCAAATAATTCCTCAATACGCACATTTTCCGACACGCTCTCTCAGAAGAATTCAAAAACTCTAATGGCTTCATTACACCACGTTGCTCAAGAATCGCCATAACACTCCAACCTCGGTAACCTTCCTTATTCTTCTCCTTCGTCTTCTCTCTGCAACTCCTCCTTGCTTCACCCACCTCATGATTTCTCTTTAGGACAGCCATTGACGCAGGTTTCAGATTTCTTTGTCGAAATGCATATGCTTCGATTTTGTTTTCTTTCTGTTTCCTTGATCTTTCTCTGCATGTCGAGCTTCTGTTCGTCGCTCAATTCCGATGGGTTGTCTCTTCTTGCCCTAAAATCCGCCGTCGAGACCGACCCGTCCCGCGTGATGAGCTCCTGGTCGGATTCCGACCTGACTCCGTGCCATTGGGCCGGAATCGTCTGTACCCGTGGCCGAGTCACCTCGCTCGTTCTCGCTGGGAAATCACTGTCGGGATACATTCCGTCCGAACTCGGTCTCCTCGACTCGCTCCTCCGGCTTGATCTTTCTCACAACAATTTCTCGAAACTCGTTCCTACTCATCTCTTCGACGCTACCAATCTCCGGCACATCGATCTCTCTCACAATTCGCTCTCCGGCCAAATCCCGCCTGAAATCCGGGCCGTGAAGAACCTCACCCACCTCGATTTCTCTTCCAATCATCTCAACGGGACTCTGCCCGAGTCTCTTACCGAACTCGGAAGCCTTGTCGGAACGCTCAATCTGTCTTACAACCGTTTCTCCGGCGAGATACCGCCGTCGTATGGTCAGTTCCCGGTTTTCGTCAGCTTGGATATCGGACACAACAATCTCTCCGGAAAAGTGCCGCAGGTGGGTTCTCTGTTGAACCAGGGGCCGACTGCATTAGCCGGAAACCCTAACCTCTGTGGATTTCCGCTGCAAACGCCATGTGAACCTGCTGAAAACCATAGAATCGTCATTTCAAACCCAGAAACCTCGCGAAATCCCCAGAAGCCAAACCCTAGTTTCGTGGACCAAAACAGAGGAAAAGACAGGCAGATCACTGGGTCAGTGACGGTTTCCCTAATCTCCGGATTCTCCGTCGTCGTCGGCGCCGTCTCCATCTCGGTATGGCTGATCCGAAGAAGACGAAGCTCCGACAAGGTAAAAACGGAGAACGACAGAACAGAGATGACAAAAAGAGCGGCGGAGTTCGACGAGGAGGGGCAAAACGGTAAATTCGTGGTGATGGACGAAGGGTTCGAGCTAGAGCTCGAGGATCTGCTGAGGGCTTCGGCGTACGTCATGGGCAAGAGCAGGAGCGGGATAGTGTACAAGGTGGTGGCCGGGAGGGGATCCGGTGCGACAGCCACCACCGTAGCCGCCGTGCGGAGGCTCAGCGACGGCGATGCCACGTGGCGGGGGAAGGAGTTCGAGGCCGAGGTGGAGGCCATCGGAAAGGTACACCACCCGAACATCGTACGGCTGAGGGCTTACTACTACGCCGCCGACGAGAAGCTCCTCATCACCGATTTCCTTCGCAATGGGAGCTTGTACTCTGCCTTGCACGGTAATTTTTTTTAATTGTGATTAATTAACATTAATCAAGTGATTTACTTCGATTATTCCAAGATTGACATCGCTATTCACAAAGATTCCGCTGAGTTATTCGCTTGATGGTGACTGAATCTAACCAGTGAAAGCGCTTTTGTCCTAATCTGTTTGTATTGTAATAACTCAGCCATGGCGTTTTCTCCTTGTTCCTTTCTCATTCATCAGCTTTTGGGTTCACATGTCATGTCCTTGTGGATCTTTCTACTCACTGCATAAACCAAACAAAAAAAAAGTCATTTTTTTGCTTGAATCTTCCAAGATCAAATACCGTGTCTGGTTCTGTGGTCCTTTTGCCGAGGTGGAGGCCATCGGAAAGGTACACCACCCGAACATCGTACGGCTGAGGGCTTACTACTACGCCGCCGACGAGAAGCTCCTCATCACCGATTTCCTTCGCAATGGGAGCTTGTACTCTGCCTTGCACGGTAATTTTTTTTAATTGTGATTAATTAACATTAATCAAGTGATTTACTTCGATTATTCCAAGATTGACATCGCTATTCACAAAGATTCCGCTGAGTTATTCGCTTGATGGTGACTGAATCTAACCAGTGAAAGCGCTTTTGTCCTAATCTGTTTGTATTGTAATAACTCAGCCATGGCGTTTTCTCCTTGTTCCTTTCTCATTCATCAGCTTTTGGGTTCACATGTCATGTCCTTGTGGATCTTTCTACTCACTGCATAAACCAAACAAAAAAAAAGTCATTTTTTTGCTTGAATCTTCCAAGATCAAATACCGTGTCTGGTTCTGTGGTCCTTTTGAATCTGAATCAAGAATATTTGTCTGTTTTGGAAGTGTTTAATGATACCGAAAAACCGGGACTAGGTATCGCATTAGTTTGTTCATATGCCGATTTTTTTGGTAATGAAGATCTTAAAGTTTTACTCGATGAATCATTGGTTTTACTGAAAGATGTGTTTGACCATTGCAGGTGTGCCTTCGAATACCTCGCCTCCGCTCTCCTGGGGAGAAAGGTTACGTATCGCGCTAGGAACTGCTCGAGGGTTAACGTATATACACGAATTCAGCCCGAGAAAATACGTGCACGGGAACCTAAAATCAACCAAAATCCTGCTCGACGACGAGCTGCAGCCTCACATCTCGGGCTTCGGTCTAACACGCTTAGTTTCGGGCTACTCCACATTCACGGGTTCACTCCCCATGAGAAGGCGAAGCCTTAGCCAAGACTTGTCAACCTATTCCACGATGGCATCAAGAATCTCGGCTCCGTCGGCTGCTTACCTCGCCCCCGAGGCCCGGGCCTCTTCTGGCTGCAAACTGACTCAGAAATGCGACGTCTTTTCTTTCGGGGTCATTCTCTTGGAGCTGTTGACTGGTCGGCTGCCGAATTCTTCGTCTGAGAACGACGGCGAAGAGCTCGTGACATTGGTGAGGAGGTTGGACAAGGAAGAGAGGCCATGGCCTGAGATCATAGACCCGGAACTTCTGAACGCGGATACTGACAGAAATCAGATGGTCGCAGCCATTCATGTCGCTCTGAACTGCACGGAAATGGATCCGGAGGTGCGTCCAAGGATGAGAACTGTGTCGGAGAATCTTGGTCGGATCAAACCGGAGTGAACTCATGTCTTTAAGAATGGAAAATGTTTTTGTATATCCATCGCGTTGCGAGTTCAGATGTGATGTGTTGATGTTTTTATTTCTGTGGGAGAGTGTTTCTTCATCTGTTTATTTAGTATAGATTGCTTGCGATCCAAGAAAGTCATATCGGTCCGGTTATTTGAAAATCGAACCGAACTGATCTGATTTATATCTCAGGAGGGCAAATGGTTCGGTTATTTGAAAATTGAACCGAATTGGTTTGATTTATATATGAACTGAATCGAACCAAATTGAATAATTAAATAAAGAAAAAGTCTCAAAAAAATCACTGAATTTGAGAAAATTGACATATTAATTCTGGATTTTTCAAATTTCTTCATCTATACATAACCGATTAACACGCAACATATGTTATACTTATATCAAAATAGAGAAATTAGTATAGTAAGATTGTTTTTATACTTTTATAGTTTGTATGTCGTTATAGTGATGCCTTTTGATTTTTTTTCAAACAATTTAATGAAGTTTGTTTTATTTATCAAACCCATTCGAATTTTTATTTGATTATAATTTTAATTAAACATAAAACGAACAGATATTAAAGCGAAAAAACCGTTTAATCATAAGTTTTTAAAATTATTAATAAACGAATCCAAATTAATTAGTGATCGAATAATTCGTAGTTAGTTTAATTTGTTGTTCTTTGGGCGTCTCTCTTGCCTTCTTTGGACAAATGGGCCTAACTCGAGCCCTAAACCCTAACAGGACAGAGACCAACTATGTGATTTTTTTGGTAACCTGATATTTTATTTTGGATTAAAGAGCAGACTAAGTGGAAAACCAATTAGGTGATTTAAAATATACGCTCTCTTCTTAAATTTAAAGTTTAAATTTGAGATGAAACAGACGTTTTGCATATGGGTTTCACCTGTTTATTATCCGAGTTTGGGTCAAATAATCAATCAATATATATTTAATTTATTTATATACAATATCAAATTAAATAATAAATAATTATAGTTAGACTAGATTTGAAATAAAAATTGATTAAATATTAATTTTCTAAAACAACATTAACTTTGTAATAAACAAACATCAAAATAATTAAAAAAACATATAAACTAAAAATAGTGTAAACAAATAAATATACTTTTAATATAAACCAAACACCAATACCATTAAAACAATCGTTAAATAAATATTGTTTATAAAAGCTAAAGAAAAATAATTGAGATTGAAATGTTGATTTTAAAGATAATATTGTTTTATATGCTAAAATTAAATAATATAATTTTTTTTTGCATGGAGGCTAATGCGGTCTCACGTGTCCGTGTTTGCCTCCACAGAAGCACGGCCTTTCGTTGAATTGCCATCATTCATGTGTCCGAATCTTTTCCTCTTTCTCTCTTATTCTCTGTATTTTTTATTTTCAAGTTTTTTAATTGTGTTTTAATTTATTTATAACAACAAATTTGAAAAACTCTAATGTAAAACGTGCCTTTGTCCAATCACCTAACATTTAAAGATTATATCATTATATAATATATTGTTATTTAGACGAAATATGTGGAGACGTTCGACGTTATTCCAATTGTATGCGATTTATTTGAACATATATAATATAAAATATTGTTCAAATATACGTATATACTGTATAATATATGGCGTACATATGTGTAAGATCGTATATTTATTTATTGGCATCTCGTGTTTAATTACGAGCAGAACAGAAGCACGAGAAAGGTGGCCGGGGACCGCACAAGCAAACTTTTGTCTTCATGCTAATTAAATAATTAAACAACCCTTGAGATTTTAAATTTCTGTACTTTATGTTAATAATTAAATAATCTAAAAAACATCAAGATTTGATAGTTCGATCTATAAAGAAAGAAGTAAAAATTCTTTTCGATCTATATTCGAATTTTCATTTAATAAAGGATATTTCTATAGATTTTTCCGATTCTTTAAAACGTGTTAAACTTTCTAATTATAAAAAAAATAAGAAGAAAATTGCGGTTTCAGTTATATAGTTTATTCGTATTTATGGATTCGGGCATAATATTTAGATATGAACGAGCTCTATCATAAAAATTTCCAAATTATGTTTTCTCGATATGTTTGCTTTATATCAAGGCATTTTTATTATACTCAAGGGCAAATCCGAAAATTGGTGAAGAAAGAAGGGTCTTTTTTGGAATTTGGCTTTCGATTTCGGGAAAGGCGGCGCTTTTGATTTATCAAAAAATGAAAACACAAAAAACTAAAAAAGGTTTTAAAAAAAGGCGAAAAAAAAAGTGTGAAAACGACGACGGATAGAGAGAACCAGATGCGGCATGAATGCGGTGCACATCACGAGACACAAAATGACGTCATTGTATCACCGTTGACCAATGAGGTTTTCCATAGTCGCGTGCGGGTGTACCGTACATCGCATACAGATTAGTAATTCCCCAACAACGATACCTAATAAATAAGTTCTGTTTCTGTTCCCCCGAGGTGTTAACGCCGTCACCGTTTAAGCGTAGTCTGGTTGACTTTATAATTGCAATAGAATCCAATAATTGTCCACTTCGCCGGAAATGGAATATTGAATTTATGGTACGTCAGATACGTTAGATTTGATAACACAAAATTTAGATTCTAAATAATGCAGTTCATTATTTACGAGTGAAATTATTATTTATTATTATTATTATTATTAAAATTTTCTTACATTATACATTTTAATGGAGAGAGTTTTCTACCATAAATTCTCATCATATTCAACCTAATAATCTCACTGAAATCTACAATTGAATAATCATTTGGAGTATTAAAATTAAATGATGGAACGAAGTTAATTAGGAGTGATACATTAATGAAAATGTGTGTGTATATATATATATACATATCACCTACGTTATTAATTATGAATGAATTCATATGCCGAGTTGACGAATTCTGGACCGTGATTTGTGAAATGCGTGAATGTGGATACACATGTATGAATCAGAAATGAAACCATGCATTCTAAGTTAAATATCTTGTTAGTTGCAAGTAATTAAAACTAGGGTTGAAAATCAGATATCCAATTTTTTTTTAAATATATGTATCCAATCTGTGTAAATATTTAATTTTATTATCTACATTTGATGTGTAATTTTTTAATATCCATAGTTTTAGATATTTGTAAAAAATGTATATATTTACGAATATTAATTTGTATCTGATCTAAAATATGATATAAAGGAATTTTTATTTTATTTTTTAATATATTCATATCCGTAAAAACCGTATATATTGTTTTTAAAATTACCCAGAAAATAGAAATTAATTACTAAATTATTAGTGTGAATCAGATCAGATATAACAAATAATTCAATTTTGATATCTTTATCCGCAAAATATTTTGAAACTAATATCTATATCCGATACGTAATTTCGGATATTCAAATTTTTTATTTGGATACGAATTGAACCATTAAATCCTTGTGCAAAGTTTTTTTTATTAGTAATAATAATAATAATAATAATAATAATAATAATAATAATAATAATAATAAAACTTAGCGTCAGTTATGTTAATTGCAGTCAATGTTATATTTACTCAATTCACATGCTCTCCATAGGTCCATATAAATGAATCAAAGGTGTACATATACATAAATACGTATACGTATACATACTCTTTCAGCCGGAATACAGAATGCCTCACACTGTATGAAACAGAAAACAAGGGGACAACACCGTAATAGTTTTATTTATACAATTATTTTTTCCACTATAAAAATTAATTTTATTTAATGCTAAAATATTAAAAAAAAAAAAAAACTGTTTATTTATGGCAGTTCCGTGACACTATCTCACAGGCGGCACAAAATGACGGTTTTCTTGCAAACTTTTCCACAATTTTTTAAAATTTATAAAAAAAAAAAATTGTTCTCCTTTTAGCTGCTTTTTCCAGTCGGCTGCTCTGTTTCAGTTATTAAAGCTTTTTGGCACAGAAACTCAGAGGAAGAGGAAGAGGAAGATCAATTATTTTTCAGCTATTTCTGAGAAGAAAGCAAAGGGAAACTCTCTGTTCTTCTTCTCCATCTTCTTCTTGGGAAGAAGCTTTCGGGTCGGGTTGCTTCGTTTTCAAGTTCTTATCTCCAAATCCCTACCCGCTTGCATCTCAAGCTGAAGTAATTTTCCCGAGAAAGTGACGACGCCACACGAGAAAAAAATAGCTGAGATTCTACCTCCGGGAATCCGAATTCGCCGGAACAGTTGACGTTGAGCATTATTAAGATGCGTTGTGCCATGTGTTCTTCCCCACCTCGGAGAAACAGAGCGATATAGCTACTAATCTACGTTCCTCGTCCATGGATTCCAATACCCATCACCATGTCTACGACCCTAATAATAACATCGCTTCCGGATCGGGTCTTCTCCGGTTTCGATCCGCCCCGAGCTCGCTTCTCGCCGCCTTCGCCGATGACGGAAAAGGTGGGTTTGATTCCGACAGGTTGATCTCCAGATTCGTCAGCTCTAATGGCGGAACCAGTGATTTGGGTTCTCCGAACCTGAGCCAGTTCGAGGATAAGTCTCCGGTTTCTGCAGTGGACGCCGCCGCTCCGCCGCCGCCGCAATTCGCGGGCAAAGGGATTATGAGCTCTGTTGCCATGGATGGATCGTATCGGTTTCTGGGTATGGATCATCATCACACGAAGCCCGCTGAATCCGGTCTTGTTCGTCAAAGCAGTTCCCCGGCCGGGATGTTCACGAATCTCTCCGTCCAAAACGGTACCTTTTTTTTTAAAAAAAAAAACAGCTCATCGGAAATGGTCTTGGACTCTTTCACCGGAAAAGATGCAAACTTTCCTTCATTTGATCGTCTTGACTCGAATTTTTGGATGATTTCTCGTTCTGGGCAAGAATCCAGCACTGTTTTCTTGCTAGCGAAAGATTAGAAATGTAAAGTTTTCACCTTTCTGAGTAAGCAAGAAAAACCCGCAATCGAACCAATTTTCTTTTCCCGGAAAGTAAGCTTTCTCTCCACTGGGTCAAGATGCAACAAATACAAAGTCAGAAACTTGGTCACGAACATTTTGATTCTACAGTTCATGTCAGAGTTTGATCGACTGAATCGATCGGTTTTTGTGTTTCCTTGTCTGATGCTGCAGGCTTTGGTTCGTTCAGGAGTTTACTGAACTACGGCACCGAGGAAGAACAGAGTCCATCTCCAAACAGATTGAAGCGCCGTTGTAGCATGTCGTCTCGGCCACCTTCTTCGCTCGGAATGCTCTCTCAGATATCCGAAATCGGGAGCGAGACTATCTCCTCGACTTTCCAATATGCTCACTGGAACGACCCGTCAAGCTTCGTGGAGGATTTCTCGATGAAAAGAGAACCAGGCGATGACTGGAGGATGTTTTCCGGAGCTCAGGTATCGATATTTTCGTTCTTATCGGTTTGGTCTCGTTCTGTTCAGTCCGATCACGTTCTGTTCTCGGTTGAACTGGATGGAAACTGTATCTGACAACCGAACTGAATGATGCCTATTCTTGTTCAGAACGGCGAGAGTGGGAATCCGATCCAGTTGCTGTCTCATCACCTGAGCTTGCCAACGACATCTTCATCCTCGGATATGGTCTCCATGGACAAGTATCTTCAGTTCCAAGGTTCCGTTCCTTGCAAGATACGAGCCAAACGTGGATGCGCCACTCATCCTCGAAGCATCGCTGAAAGGGTGAGTTACCGAGTTTCGGCCCTTGAGAACACAAAAAAAGATTCAGAACAGCAGGAAATAAGCATGTCTGAAAAAAACTTTTCCTTAAAAAGAACATCTTTTTTTCCCTCTGATTTGTCAGGTGAGAAGAACTCGGATAAGCGAACGTATGAGGAAATTACAGGAGCTTGTTCCGAACATGAATAAGGTATATACATATATGGCGGTATTACTCTTCAAACCATTTATCACGTGTTCTAAATCTCGAACCCGTCATCTTCATCATCGACGTTTCAATGGTTAAACAGCAAACAAACACATCGGATATGTTAGATTTGGCTGTGGAATACATCAAAGATCTCCAAAGACAGTTTAAGGTAATCTCCAGAATCATTCCGAGAATAGAATCCAAGGTTGAACAAACATTCATCTGGCTTTCATTGGTGAGAGAATCTTCCTCGATGTATGCAGGTTCTGAGCGAAATCCGAGCCAACTGCAGGTGCGTAAACGAGGAGGAGAAGGAGATGTAGGAAGAACCTGCGTAACCAGATTTTGCACTGCACATAGGATTGAGGAAAAGCATAGAGAAATCATCTTTTTTTTCACTAATAATTTTCTCGGGAACGGAATTCGATGGCTTTCAAGCTTTCTCAACAAGTTCCCGGAATAAAGATCGATCATACGGCTTGATCTCCGGATTTTATTGCCATTTTCGTTAAAAGCTCGCAGCTTTTCTATACCCGTGTAGCGAAGCTTCTTGTTTCTAGTTTTACACAGCAGTACTTCTCAGGTTTTTGCCAAACTCGTGTTTGGATGCCGAGAAAGTGCAGAGAAAATAGATGGAAAACAGAGACGAGAAACGAGAGGCGGGAAAGAAAGCCATTGTTTCTTAACCGGGAAGATACAAGCTTATATATTTTCCCAAGTTCGAACTCTTCAAAATTGGGGAGGGATTATTCACATGGCTTTCTCCTAACCCCGAAAATTAGCGTGAACTTCGGTACACGAGATCCAATTACCAAATAAAAACTTGTGTAGCCCGACTTTATCTGTTACATGAACTTAACGAACTCGTTGTTACATATAGGGTGTAAAACGGGCTAATCCGGCCCAGTCCATCCCGACTCGTTAGTTGTTCCGATCCGGAAAAATTTTAGTCCAGTCCAATCCATTTTTTAACGAGTCAAAAATATATCAATTCGCCCCATATCGTTTTAATCCGCGAACAAAACGAGTCGGTCCGCGAGCCAAATATATAAATTTTAAAAATAAATTTTAATACTAAAAAAATTTTAAAACTAATTTTAATATTTAAAATATTTAAATATAATACAAAAAATAAAATTTTAAACAAAAAAAAACTAAATATATGTAATAAAAACATAATTTGTATATAAAAATATTTTAAAATATATAAATTTTAAAAAAAAAAAATCTGGTCGGCAAGCCAGCCCAGCTCGTGACAGACTGCCTCGTTTGGCCCGATTTTTTCTGAGCTCAAAATATTTGAACCTAACTCGGAAAAATATGGGTCGGTTCGTGAGCCAACTCGCGATGCGCGGCTTGGTTTGTACCCCTAGTTACATATATAGGTCATATATACTCGTCTGTATCCATAAATTTGGTACGGTTGTGAAATAATTGGTTCAACCAAGGGTAGATAATTGGTCGACTTGTTATCACGTTAGTTGACTGAATAGAACTTGAAATATTTTTGTATTGGAAAAATATGAGAAGAGTTTGAGTTTGTATAGAGTTTAGATTAGATTAGATTTATATATATTTCTATCATTAGGATTTGAATTAGGAATTCTATTTAGATAAAACTACGTTACATGTTTAAATTCATTCGATCTATCAATAATATAATAAGATTTTATTCTTAGACATGGTACGTAATCTATCAGAATCTAATTATAAGATATTGTTGATTTTGAGTAAATCAATATTTCTTCTGACAATAAATAATGCATGCCCCATCCTTTTGCTGTGCGCCACGTTGCAGTGTTTATAGCAATTAGGAAATAAACTCGGAAAGATAATAATAAAAAAATTAAAAAGAGTTTATATTATAACGGCGTTGAGGTTAACCGACTCAAGTCAACATATATTATTTATTCAGCATGTTTCTCATGTTATGACACTTTGCTAGGGTTTTTGACCTAAAACAGATTATCGAGATATCACTTGTACTTGGAAGACGAAGATGGATTTCGTGAAGTTTCTCGGCAGAGGCTCCTACGGTTCCGTCATTCTCTACAAGTTCCAGAATCCCGACGGCACGCCCCAGTACACCGCCGTGAAGTTTTCAGACTGCAGACACTACGAGGCGCTGAACAAAGAGGTTCAGATTCTTTCCAAGCTCAGAGGTGTTCCTAGAATCGTCCAATGTTACGGGAACTGCCTGGCTGGATCTTTCACCAAAGACGGCGTAGTATACAGAATGTACTTGGAGTATGCGGAGCGTGGAAGTCTGAGATCGTTCATGAACAGCCACCACAACGGGAGATTGCCCGAAGGGATGGCCAGACAGTTCACGCGTATGATCCTCGAAGGTCTGGTCTCTATCCACAGCCTCGGCTACGTCCACTGCGATCTCAAACCCGGAAACCTCCTCGTCTTCCCGACATCATCCTCCTCCTACGAAATAAAGATTGCGGATTTCGGGATGTCGAGGCGCGATGGGGATGAATCGCATGGTCCGTTGTTTGTGGGCACACCGCGGTATATGTCGCCGGAGTCTGTCTCCGAGGGCAGAATCGTAAAAGCCCTAGATCTGTGGTCGTTGGGATGCATTGTGTTGAAGATGTTGACCGGAGAATCGGCATGGCCGGAGGAGAAAGGCGTGGATTATGTCATGCATGCCCTGCTGGCTGGCCGTACACCTATGGTTCCCGAGTGTCTGCCTTTGGATGCAAGGAAGTTTCTGGAAACTTGCCTCGCAAGAAAACCAGAAGACAGAGGAAGCGCTTCTTCGTTGTTGGCCCATCCCTTCTTTTTCTGAGAGGAAGAAGAAGAAAAGAATCATAACGCGGAGGAGGAGAACCCAATCGATTCACCATTGCGTCTCTCGACTTTCTGTGTTTGTGTGAGCGTGCGTACGTGTTGGATATGGCGAGTGAGAGTTTTTAGAAGAACTAACATTGGTGCCTGTCGTTTCTTTCAAAACCATACACACACACACACAAATTATATCTCTCAATGCTCTATTGTGAATCACCGAACATGCGACATGAACTATAGAGATAGGCATGGGGCGCATACTCGTGTTTTTTAGATACCCATCTTCGTTTTCGTTTTTACGGATTTTAGATAAATGTTATCTCTATCTTTCTTTCGCAATATTCGGATATCCGCGAGTACCCGTATCTATATATATATATATATATATAAGATTCATCGATTTAAAATTAAATCAAATATCCAACAAAATCATATATATTTAATTTGATCCAAAAACTCATTTAAAGTTCGAAATTTCTTTAAATATGATAATATACATAAATTTCTAAAAAGTTTTTTAAAGATACAAAATCATTTTGAAATTGAAAGAGTTAAGATGGCAATAGAAATATTATAAAACCTAGATATTTTGGTAAATAGTTTAGAAGTATAAGGGTCATTTTGTCTTTTCATATATATATTGGTATCCACTTTTATCCGTTTTCTAAATCTTTGAAACCTTTTAATATTCGTTTTCATCTTCCTTGAATGTCAAATACCCGTGAGATCGAATATCCGCAAGCCCGCTAATCACCGGTTTAAATGCCCAACCCTAACACAAACCCTTTTATTTTGCACATCCGCGAAATTAGTAGGATTTAGAGCCTTTTAACTCTGCGGTTACATTTCCTTCTCACCAATACGTGTGTATTATAGGACAATAATAATAACCAACCTACCCGCCACAAATTTAAAACACAAACACAACTTCTTCTTCAACTTGACTTCATCCGTCAACTCGGTTGACTTTGTTTTTTCCTGCGTTTTCTTCATCTTCTTCAGCGATTCTCCGGGTCTTCAACTTCTTTTCTTGAGTTTCGAGGGCACACTTCCAACAGAAATTTCAGGAGCTTGTTCCTGTCACCACATGGATTAGGGTTTGCATTGCCATTTTCATTAAAAAGCTTGGAACTTTTCTATACCCATGTGGCAAAGCTTCTTGTTTTAAAACCACCTTCTCAGATTTTGCTGAGCATTTGTGTGTTTGGATGCCGAGAAAGTGCACAGAAAAAGAGATGAAAGTTATTGCCTGCGAGATGCAATTATATATATATATATACACACACACACAACTAGTATAACCGACTTCTATATTATAAGGTTTTGTGATGGAGAATTGTGCAAACACTAGATTACAGAGAGCTTTATATAGGAGATGTACATTAGATTACATATATATGTCTATTACATAAACTTAAAGAACTCGTTAAATTTACATATCTAATAAATCATGCTCATGAGGGAGATTGAACCCTTGAATGGTTATAGTTTTGGGAGTTTTTAAAATCTAAAAACCAAAAAAACTACCATTCAAGTTTTTACTTTCCCTAAAAACTTGGAAAACCATTTTAATAGAAAAATCAATGAAAAACCAAAAACTACTTTTTTTTTTCAAATATTATAGAATCCAAAATCCAAAAACCAAAAACTAAAAACCAAAATCCAAAAACTAAAGCAAAAAATCCAAAATAAAAACCATCCCCGTTCAAAGCTTGAGATTTGAAACCTGAAAGTTCCGCAATAAATAGGAAGACATCATCACGAGATGGATCGTTGTTGTTTTGTTTACCTTATCACGGACTAAGTGTGAATCTTTTTCGATATATTTGGTGAAAGGAATAATCTTGCATGATTTTGCGAGATTTTTCATTTATTTTTTATTTTTTAGAATAAAATCGATTTGGTCTTGGTATGGCCAATTCTTTAGCCACGTTTGTTAATTTTTGGAAAATCGTCAAAAATAATTTGTACTTTTCAAATGTAAAAAAAAAACTGGACTTTTTTTTTACAAACAAAACTATACTTATGTTTACTCGCAAAAATATACATGTAATTTATAAAATCTAACAAATAAGTCCCTAAACGCAAATATTAAAAAAATACGGTAAAAAATTGATGTGATATTATTTTAATAAATAAATAAATTATTAATTTAATAACAAAAATAAAAAATTACAATATTTATTTATTTATTTATTATTATTGTATTGTTATTTTTATTTTTATTATTAATTTTTAAATTTATAAATTTATTTATTAAAATAATATCGCATTAGATTTTTTATCGCATTTTTTTTTGCGTATGAGTTTATAGATTTATTTGTTAGATTTTATCAATTACATGTATATTTCTGCGAGTAAATATAAGTAGAACTGGACAAAATATCCGAAAAAATTGAACCAATCCGTTATTCGATTTGTATCCGAACTAAAAATTTGGATATCCGGAGTTTATGGATCAGATATGAATATTTATTTTGAGATATTTGTCAGATATATATCAAATACGAATATCAAAATCGAATTATCCGACATATCCGATCCGTACTTTGTAATAATATTATTAAATATAAAAATAATTTGATATAAATATTTAAAATGCTTAATATTTATACATTTTTAAGGAAATTCGAGAAATATTTTATAGATATTGAAGTTTAGAATATTTAATCTTTTGAATATGAAGAGTTATTATATTTACTATTTTAAATTTTGAACTTTAAATATATTTTCATGTGATAAATTATAATTGTATTTGTATTTGAATTGATTTGAAATGTTTAAATTATGAAATTTAAATTGTGAATATCGTTTATATTAAATAGTTTATATATTTTATTTGTGTTTGAGTTTATTATTTAATTTTAATTCAAATTTTTATAATATTGTAGCTCGGATACAAATATTGCAAATATCCGTGATTTTTACGGATATCCAAAAATTATGGCTCGGATACGGATAACAAAATCGAATATTTATGCGGATACAAATATCTCAAAAAATTTTGATATATAATTCGTATTCACGTATAGAGTTTTTTTATAATAAAAAAAGTACATGTTTTTGTTTTATTATTTTCCCTTAATTTTTCTATTTTTAGGTGATTTTTATCTTTTTATTATATAAAAAGTTTTGAATGGTTGAGATAAATATTGTGGGATCCAATTGTCTAAGGTTTTTTTATACAATATTTGTTCTCAATGGATTTGAATTTGGAACTAGGCCACTCCACTTAGATTCTTCCTTTTTTATATATAAAATTCTTTTTTATTTCCATTAAATATGTCAAATACAATTGGGGATTAAGTTTTATTATCATTTGGTAAAACAGATTTTTAGAAAAAATAAAAATGGAAAGAAACAGTTGATTCGAGTTAAAAAAAAAATGGAAAATATCTTCCAAAAATAGGCGGAGGAGACGCATAATCGGCACGCAATTTTTTGTTGTTGTTGATACTATTGAAAAATATGAACAGTTTCATTAGATATTAGTATGTTTGTTAATTATTTATATTAGATTTATATATTCTTATCATTAATATAGGAATTAAGAGTTCTATTAAGAAAAAACTATGCTGTATATTTAAACACATTCGATTATCAATAATATAATAACGTTTTATCACGCAAATCTTGAGAGATACAATCTAAGATTCTATAATAAACTTGTTTTGGATGTCGAAAAAATTTAGAGACAAGAAAGAGAGATAAAAAAGGAAGTTTTGGAAATCAAGTGTTATAATTTTTTCAAGTAATTAACTATTTTAATTTTATCCGTTACCTAAACAAATCTAATAGAACCCAACCCTTTTTCAGTATCAAATCAAAGCTCAGAAGCTAGGGTTCGATTTTGAGTAAATTAATATTCCTTCTCACAATTATTCATGCCCACTTCCACTTGTTTTCTTTCCTCTCCTTTTTTCTGGTGCGCCGGCGTCGCATGGGATATAACAATTATGAAACAAATTAAATTAACTCGGAAGGATAATAATAAAATAACAATAAATCAAAAAGAGTTTAATTATATCATAAACAGCGAGTTTATCAACTCGGAGAAAATCGATAACCGACTCAAGTCGAAATATATTTAATCAGCATTTTTCTCGCTTCCTTACACTCTAGTACGAAAATTTCTAGGGTTTTGGATCTAAAACAGACTAGCAAGATCACTTGTCCATTGCAACGCCTTCGAAGACTGAAGATGGATTTCGTGAAACTTCTCGGCAGCGGCTCCTACGGTTCCGTCAGTCTCTACAAGTTCCAGAAACGCGACGGCACGCTCCATTACACCGCCGTGAAGACATCAGGCTCGAGAGAATACGAGGAGCTGAACAAGGAGATGCACATTCTCTCCAAACTCCGTGGATGTCCTAGAATCGTCCAATGTTATGGGGACTCCCTGCAAGAATCTGTCACCAAAGACGGTGTAGTATACAGAATGCACCTGGAGTATGCGGAGCGTGGAAGCCTCAGATCGTTCGTGAACGGCCACGACAACGGGAGATTGTCCGACGGGATGATCATCCAGTTCACGCGTATGATCCTCGAAGGTCTGGTCTCTATCCACAGCCTCGGCTACGTCCACTGCGATCTCAAACCCGAAAACCTCCTCGTCTTCCCCACATCATCCTCGTCCTTCGAAATAAAGATTGCGGATTTCGGGCTGTCGAGGGGCGATGGGGATGAATTACCTAACTCAATACCGTTTGCGGGCACACCGCTGTATATGTCGCCGGAGTCTGTCTCCGATGGCAGAATCGTAAAAGCCCTAGATCTATGGTCGTTGGGATGCATTGTGTTGGAGATGTTGACCGGAGAACCGCCATGGCCGGAGGAGCAAGACTCTGAAGATCTCGTGGACGCCTTCCTGCTAGACCAGACACCTCAGATTCCGGCCACTCTGCCTTCCGATGCAAGGAAGTTTCTGGAAACTTGCCTCGCAAGAAAACCAGAAGATAGAGGAAGTGCTTCTTCGTTGTTGGCCCATCCCTTCTTGCGCTCAGAGGAAGAAGAGGAGACGAAGAATCAGAATGCGGAGGAGGAGAAAGCCGAGAGGAAGCTGTTGATTCTCAAGATCAAAAGGAAACCTAAACCCGAATCGCAGTTGCATAATATTGCAAAGAGACCCCTGAAGTTGAAGATTATTCCTCCCAAACCCCCATAGTTTACGAAAGTCCCAATATTTCTCCCAAACCTGAAATCTCCAATGTCTCTATTATGTAATGCTGAAATCATCTTTTTTTTTTGGTTGTAAACGTGAAATTAATGAAATAAAGTTTGAGGTGTTTGTCTTCTTCAAATTCTATTTCATATATACACACACATATATACATATATACACACACAAACTCTCAAAATACATTTCGTGACACTAACTTTTTGGAACCTTTCAATAACATAACTTTAGAAATCTAACGTATTGGTGCTTTGTTGAATGTTATATTTCTTAATTTTAATACATTTGTTTTGATTTTAATAATAGTTCTTGACATTTATAAATCATAAAACAGTTTTCTGTACAAAATGTTTTTTTTTTCCTGGGAAGTGACGACGTACTGGAATTTCAGTGGTATCTCATGCACTGGATAGGCCTTTCCAAACTGGGCCCAAACCAACAGATAAAAACCGGCCCAATAAAAGCCCAATAATTGTTCGGTCCAATAAAGGGTAAAATAATAAATAAAATGAAGCCGAATGTTTATCCCGCCCATGAGGGAAATTTGAAAGTTGAAAACGGAGCTCGCACGTGCCAACCTCGAAAATTCTTCCCTCTGGTATTATATCAAAACCCGCCTACAGAGGAGTTTCAGAGATTGGCCTGATCCTCTTCTCTCTATGCCGCCTCTTCAAATTTAGCCCACAAGCCTTTTGGAGCTTTATCTCAAGTTTATTGAAGGTTCAAGGTAAATTCACTGTGAAATGTGTCGCTCGGTGATGCAAATGCCTGGATTTTCGCCATTCTTGTGGGTTCTTGGTTGTTTAAGTCTCTGTTTGTTCGATTTTGTTCACTAACGGGAGTTAATCCTCGTTTCGTGAGAGTTTCGTGGTGCGAATGGTTCTGATTTCCGCTGCTTGAGGTTTATTGGTTTCAATTTTCACGAGGAGGTCTGTTTATGGTGGAAAACCGAGTCTTCTTCGATACCAGAAACCCTAGGCTCGTTGTTTCAGTAGCAAGAAATGGGAATTAGATATTCTACTGGATGGTCAGTTTAGTATATGCGGTTTGAAATTTTCCGTGGAAGTGATACGGGCAGCTCTTGATGGTTGATAAATCAAACTTTGCATGCTCTAATGGCTTCCGTTTTTGGTCAGAACCTGATCACGATGTCAGCATCAAGGGATCGTTTGGAGAGGCCGGTTGATCATGCTGCTGCATTCCTCAACAGACGTCAAAATGATGTTTTTCTTGACGAGCCAGCTTTGCCGCTCGGTACATTTGGGAATACTGGGACTGCAGCATTTGGACCCGTTGGACCAAGACCCTTGGTGTATAGAGGCGGGTTTGCGAGGCGGCTAGGAAATCGTAGAGGTCTGACCCCATTTAGATTGCCACAGGGAAGGGAGAATACACCTGCTGGGGCTGCCAGGCGCAGAATGGGACGTGCTTCGACCAGTGTTTTGCCTTCTTGGTATCCCCGAACACCCCTCCGTGACATTACTGCGATCGTAAGGGTAAGCCACGATCTTTCTGTGAATTGATAGGTCCATATTAGGTTGTTTAGGTCAGACAATTAATCTTGTTTGTAACTGTGCGTCTTACTCTGGCTGATGATAGTAACTGTCTTGCTTACTCTCTCTGTAGATTTAGATGCAAAATGTTTTTTTTCTATGTTCTCTCTGTAGGTTTCTCAAAAATTTTGCTCCCTAATGTTTAAATCTAATATCTTCCTGCCTTGTCTGTCAATGTCAATGCATTTTGGACTTGGTATTTAGTGCTATTATATTTTGTTTAGCATTAGCAGTTAATCCTAAGATTAGTTTTGCCCTCACAATTTTTTACATCATGGTCAACTGAAAACTGCAGGCTAAAGCTTGTCCGGCCAAAAGGTGTTTATTTATTTTTCACCTCTCCACAGTTTTACTCTAGCATGAGAGCACTTTCTAAATCCCAATATCTGTTTGCATTGCCAGATTTCAGCAGTCTGTCACAGGCTTACTTAGCCTCTGCAAGAATTGCAAAATGGTGCCGAGGCTTGCTTAGCCTGGCTGTTTATATTATCTTCTTTATCTTTCCATGAATCAGGCTATTGAGAGGAGAAGATCTCGTATGGGAGAAGTCGATGGCCGAGAAGTTGAGACTCCTACTCCCCGACAAGTAGGGGTTCTTGATTCTCCAGTGCCGCTGACAGGAGCTCAGCTCGAGCACAACAGCTCTATGGTCACTCCAGCTCCAGCCGTGGGACTGAAACGTAGCTGCCCGCCTTCCACTGCCACAGTCCACAAGATACTTCTCGACATAACCAAAGAGCATTGCGGTGGAGAATCAGAGTCCCTCACACCGCAGAAGAAACTGCTCAACTCTATTGACAAAGTAGAGAAGGTCGTGATGGAAGAGATTCAGAAACTGAAGAGCACTCCTAGTGCAAAGAGGGCGGAGCGCGAGAAAAGGGTTCGGACACTAATGTCAATGCGGTGATCCGATCCCCTTCTTTTTTCGTTCTCAGAAAAAGAAAAGGAATGAAGAGGCTGTGTGAGTGAAGAAAGGGGACCCGCACAGTGAGCACACATCATCTTCTGATGATGGCAGATAGGGATTTTGATGGATCCATCACCCACTGGTGAAAATATGTTCATAAACTTGTAGGATTCTTAGGCAGAGTTGTCATTTTTCTGATGATATTGCTAGGTGGGTCAAATCATCTCCTCTGATGATACATCATAGGAGTTTTACTAGGAGGGTTAGCCAGTCATCTTCTCTGATGATATATGTCATAGGAGTCTCATCCTTTTTCTTCTTTGTTTTTCTTCTTCTGATGATTGCACAAGCATCATGATGATAGACCATACTATGGTTCAGATTCTATCCTTTAGACATCTAACGGACAAATCTCTGCTTTAGGGTTTCATGCTCTTCTGGTGTGCCTTTTGAGTCGGTTTCATTTTTGTGTGAATGTACAGAAGAATTGCTTGAGCCTTTTGAGTTTTTTTTTTATTTGTCCACCGAAGGAATCTGTAGTGGTTACAGTCACAAAGATTCTTGCTCTGATTTGTCCTTTTTTGTTTTGCCAGTTTACAGGATTGATTGCCGATCTACAAAGGGGACCGTATACAAAGATGTATATACGAAATAATCAAAGGAAAGGACTACTACTATTATTATTATTATTATTATTATTATTATTATTATTACTTGTCAATTTGTTTTGTCCTCTTACAGTTCGGAATCTAATGGAAGAATATGTCAGTTTCGTGGAAATCACTTCTCATGTCTTGTCTTCTCTTCACAGAGGAATTTCACGAACTAGATTCCCCCTTAGTCCCTCCATTAAGCCTTTTTTTTAATAAATACAAAGCCTACTTAGAAGTCAGAACACCAAAAAAAAAAAAAAAACCCCTCACAAACACTGATGGATTTCGGACTCAACGCTAACTCTCTTGTCTTAACGTCCTTCGTCCTTGCCTTTGCATTCAATGGTTTCTTCAAAAGACTACTGAAATGCTGCGGTCCAACCATCGCTGAGAAGCAGCCACCTCCTCCTAGCCCTCCCGCCTTACCCTTCATTGGTCACCTTCATTTGATCGGCAGAGTGTTGCCCGTCTCATTACAGAGCCTGGCTCGTAGGTATGGCCCGCTTATGGCAATCCGGCTCGGGGCTTCCACCTGTGTTGTTGCATCCGACTCTTCCTCGGCCAAGGAGATTTTCAAGACCCAGGAGCTCAATTTCTGCTCGAGACCCGAGTTTGGATCTGCCGAGTATTTCATTTACAGAGGGTCAAGGTTCATCCTTGCGCAGTATGGTGATTACTGGAGGTTCATGAAGAAGCTGTGCATGACGAAGCTGCTTGCTGTTCCACAGCTCGAGAAATTCGCGGATATCAGGGAGGAGGAGAAGATCAAACTCGTTGAGTCTGTGGCCGATTGTTGCAGAGACAGGAGGCCTTGTGAGTTGGGTGGCCGGTTCACGACCTACACAAACAATATCATATGTAGGATGGCGATGAGCACAAGGTGTTCAGGAAACGATAATGAGGCGGAGGAGATCAAGGAGTTGATCAAGACCTGTTTAGAATTCGCTGGGAAGGTCAGTATTGGGGACGTGTTGGGACCCTTGAAAGTGTTGGATTTCTCCGGGAACGGGAAGAAGCTTGTGGCAGCCATGAAGAAGTATGATCGGCTTGTGGAGAGGGTCATAAAGGAGCATGAAGCAAAGGTGATGGAGGAAGCGAGCTCTGATGCCGTGAGGACGAGGAAGGACATCTTGCATATATTGTTGGAGACTTACAAAGACCCCGCTGCCGAGGTGAAGCTCACGAGAAATGACATCAAATCTTTCTTGCTGGTAGGTTCCTTCGACCTGCAACTCGGCATCCAGTTTCGTTGGTTAGTAGATTCGATTAAAAAAAATGTATGAAATTCCATTCCTAGGATATTTTCATGGCGGGGGCGGATACATCATCGGCAGCCATGCAGTGGGCAATGGGAGAATTGATTAACCATCCACAAGCACTCAAAAAGCTAAGAGAAGAGATCGATACTGTTGTTGGGAGTAAGAGGCTGGTAAAAGAATCAGACGTTGAAAATCTCCCGTACCTCCGAGCTGTCATCAGAGAAACCCTGAGGCTGCACCCTTCAGCTCCTCTGATCATCAGGGAGTGCGGGGAAGACTGCCAAGTGAACGGGTACCTAGTCAAGTCCAAAACCCGTGTGCTCGTTAACGTATACGCGATCATGAGAGATCCCGAACTATGGAAGGACCCAGAGAGATTTATGCCAGAGAGGTTTCTAGAGAGCTCTGAGGAGAAGATAGGAGAGCATCAGATGGAGTTTAAAGGTCAGAATTTCAGGTACCTTCCATTTGGGAGTGGAAGGAGAGGATGCGCAGGAGCATCACTTGCAATGTATGTGATGCATTTGGCAGTGGGTGCATTGGTTCAGCGCTTTGACTGGCAGATTGTTGGTGGAGAGAAGGCTGATCTGAGCCAAGGTCCTGGTTTTGCTGCTGAGATGGCTCGACCACTCCTATGCCACCCTACTGATCGCTTCAACCCTCTCTAAGAGCTTTTGGCCACTGTTGGTGTCACCTCTTTGTTATAATAATAAAGACTTTCCCATGATGTATGGCTGTAACAAGGAAACAATGATTTGGTACCTCAAAAAAAATTTCATGCTTAAATGAAAAAATATGTTTGGAAGGCTTTTGTTCTACCTAGAATTTGCTCCTCCAGCAGCAGCATCTGCAATTCCATGACTGAATTGGCAAGGAGGAAGTACAAGAAGCCATAAACTTTTGCGATAGAAACATAAACAGAACAACATTATCACCCACAGGTAAGAACTGATCGCACAGATTAGATATATAAAAAAGGATCGGCAAACCATCAACATATGTAAACAAACTTTACTAAGGCAGGAGAGAGAGAGAGGTGAAAAACACCAACTGATGAGTAGCACGATATGTCTAATTACGTATGAACAGTTTGACAAGAGCCTTCTAGTATTGGAAGCCTGAATGCAGAGCTTCTTCATTCACCCTACATCAACACAAATCATGACCACATATGCTTCCTTCTTTTTCTAATCACAAAAGCTGTTTTAATTTGGACAAATAAGTAAAAGGGGCTTCAGTTCGGTGTTCAAGAACACGCAGGGGATCAGAGAATGGGTGGGTACTGCTTCGCCTGCTGCCTAACCCTCCTCTTGTACTCTGCCGGATCCTGTGGCATGACAGAGTTTACACAGAGCATGAAATTTTGTGTCATGAAAGTCACATTACTTTGTATTATGCTTTTGCAACTTTTGACATACTTATTATGATGTCAAGAGAGAGAAGTTTATATAAGTGATCATGCAAGATAAAACAACATATGGTATTAGAGTTGAACCTGTATGAAGAGATGATAACCATCTGTCTGTGCAGGGTCTGCGGGATTTGGCTGGTCCAGTAAATCCTGAATACCCACGAGAATCTGCTTGACTGTGATGGCCGGTCTCCACCCCTGTCCATGTAAAATCACAGGAAATGAAATCGCATTAACTCCAGCTAGAACATATGGGAAAACCTTGCAAATACACATAGAAGGAACTTACAGAATCCTCGTTAAGGATTGATAGACAGACAGTTCCAGATGGATAAACATTAGGGTGGAAAAACCCCTGAGGGAATTTGCATTTGGGTGGCTTGCTTGGATAGTCCTCGCTAAAGTGCAGAGTTAATGGGAAGTAACCACCCTCCCAGTCAGTCTGCAATGTCAAATCAGATTTCATGAACTTGCAAAGATGGGGAGTAACCACGATGATGCATAACCAAAAGAGGAACAAATCATCATGAGTTGTACAAAAGAAACGTAACATACAAACACAAAATGGAAAAAATGATAATTAGCACAACAGCAGAGACCATACATAAACCTCATTCCACATCCCTACAAATACATTATTGTAAAGAAAAATAAGAACTCACAAGAGAGAAATAAGCCGAGTTCACAACATAAAGGACAGGGAATCTCTAGAAGCTTTGAACTTGGAAAGCAATATGTCTCAGAATCTCGTAAAAAAACTCAATCTATCGTGCAAAAAAATACTGACGTTACTCATCCAACAAATAGAATAATTCATTTCAATAATAATCATGCAACTGAAATAGCCAGACATAAGAGTTAAATTACAAGACAAGGAAAACGAAAACAAACCCTCTTCTTGCACCCATGCGACAAATCTTGCAGAAAAGTGGAAACATAAAATGGAAAAATTGAACACAACAGTAATCTATCTCAAGTTCCTTCAAGTACATTTGATTATAGTAACCCAAAATAAATAAAATCCACAAGAGAGAAACATAACAGGTTCATTTGCGCAAAAAGCGGAGAGCTCTAGAAACTCGGAACACAAAAAGTGGAGCAGTGATGCGACAGAATCTCGTAAACTGACTGCCTCAATCAATCATGTTCACTGACTAACGAGAAGGAATCCTCTGGAAACTCGGAACACGTGTGCGTCAGAATCTCGTGAACAGACATTATAATGTTAATCAGGTGCAAAGCAGAACAGTACGTATAAACAATAAACATCGTATGATTCAAAAAACCAGACCCAAAATCACCCTTATTTCCATCATCGCTACTGTAAAAAAGTAAAATACACGACAAGAAGGCAAATGGAAGCAAACCCTCTTCTATTATTAAGACAGAATTCATACTTCACACTTACCCCAGGTTTGCCAGGTATAGTACACTGCCACACCATCAGATTGCAGGTTCCGTCAGGACTAGTCTCCGGCTTCGCCACAAAACCCTAATTCACCATCGAAACGTCACAACCCACAAACACAATCAGGAAAGACGAAAACCAGAAGAATCAGACAGCATTCCGAAGAAGATATCAGAGAGTAAAAGAGCAGACACATCAACCGACCCAACCAAATCCAACCCTCCATCAAAATTCAGACAGAAAAAGTGGAAAAAGTAACAGAGCGAGAGATGGAGGAAGTACGGACGTGCGGGTGATTCTTCCTCCACGCCTTCCTCTCCTCCGCGAGACGCCCACGCGCGATTCCACTTGCCATCTCTCTCTGCAATCTCTCTGGATCGTCTCTACCGGGTGCGTGGAATTGCGGAAATTGTCGTCCTTTTTAATTCCACGGGGGAGGGATGGGAGAAATCTTATGAAATGACCGGAGTGCCCCTTACGGAAGCAAGGAAAAGGGAAATCCAACGGCCCAGATTTCACGGAGAATATCTGTCTCGTAATTTTAAAAAACAAAAACAAATGGTCAAAGGATAACAAAGTCAAATGGATAAAGAATTGCGTGAAATCTACGCGAAGGCTATAAAGATAACGAAGATTCTGGCCTTTGATGTGGCCCAAATTCAAGTTTGGGCCTTCCATGTTCACATTTTCTCTTCTACTTCTACAAAAAAAAAGGTGTTAAAAGCAATACATAAAATAATTTTACAGCCCAAACAACTTAGGATTCGTGTTAAATAAATAAATAAATTTCCTCTCTAATAATATATATTATAATAATAATAAAAAATTTCGATCAGAATTAGAAAGTTTAGTTTTAAAAAAAAAATCAAATTGCAGTTTTCAAATGAATATGTTTAATTAGTACGTAAAACTCTCATTCCAGTAATATATTTTCATCTATGATCGCATTATTAATTTTTTGTTAGTAATTGATACTTACAATATGTTCTTATAAATTATTTTTTTAACAAGAGATCGTATTATTCGAATCAAATGAAATGTTTCTGATAAAAAAAAATTATGCGGAGAAATCTCATCTCAGTTGATCTTTATGAGGTTGTGCATTCGACTCTTTCTAAATATCGTCCGATCGGAAATTTGCCGCTTATTACATAGAATCGGAAGTTTATTATCCGAAATATCGTCCGATCTATGGAACCGAACGATGTCTGATTCCAAGGGATATAAAAACGGTTTTAAGTATAAAAAAATAATAATATATATTTATATCATAATGGCTAAACCAATATCTTACTATAAATAAATTCAAAATTAGATGGCTCAATCGATAAGGAATGGAGAATAACTTTTTTTCAACTCGAAAGAGATATTCGCATAAATTTTTCGATCTTTAGAAATGTAATCGGATAAAAAATTCAACGAATTTTTGAATTATGAAAAGAATATTTTACTGTAAATAAATCATGCAAAAGTGCATCCCAAGGACCCAAGGGTCTCGCTCTCGTATAAAATTTAAGGGATAATCCCATATTCTCCCACAAATTTTCGAAAAAGTTCTAATTTTCTACACCAATTTTTAATTTGACAAAAAACTACACCAGATTTCAAATATTTCCAAATTCCCACACAAAATCTTAAAATGTGTTACAATTTCCCCCATATCCGTAAACGACGTTAAGTTCCGTCAATTTTAATGCTGATGTGGCATGCCACGTCATACAGATTTCGCCAAATCAGCACATTTCGCCACATCATCCAGCCACGTCAGAAAATAAATAAAAATAAAAATAAAAATAAAAAATTTCTAGAATTTTTTTTAAAAACTAATAAAATAAAAATACAGAATTTCAAATTTTATTTTTTAAAAATAAAATAGAAAATTACATATACATATATATACACTTTTATATCTATACACAATTATATACATATACATATATACAAATATACATCTACATACATAATTATATACATATATATATATATATAGACACACTTATACATTTACATATATACACACTTTTACATATATACACAATTTTTAAAAAAAAAACTTTTAAAAAATTACAGAATTTTAAAATTTATTTTTTAAAAATAAAATAAAAAATCACATATACATATATACACAAATAATATATATATATATATATATATATTTACATATGTATATATACATTACTTGGTTGTCTGACATGGATTGCGTCTCGGACTTCATAGCCTCGCGCCATTTCTCGGAGTCCGGATTCGCCATAGCCTCTTGGTATGTGGTAGGCTCGTCATGTTCTAATAACATGAGTTCCTCATTCCCAGTCACGAGAAATCCGTATCTCAAGTATGGACTCTGGTTGATGCATCTGAAGGGATAAAATCCATCAGATGCAAGTGGATCTTCAAGAAGAAGACCGACATGGATGGCAACGTGCACACGTATAAGGCACGACTTATGGCGAAAGGATTCCGTCAGATTCATGGTATTAACTATGATGAGACCTTTTCGCCCGTAGTTATGCTGAAGTCTATAAGGATCCTACTTGCCATAGTCGCATATTATGACTATGAGATATGGCCGCGTTCCTTAACGGGAACTTGACCGAGGATGTGTACATGACACAACCCGAAGGTTTTGTCGATCCAAGGAACTCGGAGATGGTGTGCAAGCTTCAGAGGTCCATTTATGGACTGAAGCAGGCTTCGAGGAGCTGGAACCATCGCTTTGATGAGACAATCAAAAAGTTTGGTTTCTCACA